TAAGTTAAAATCTGGGTGGGCTCCAATCCCATATGCCTGGCGTCTATGAAAAAGGAGATTAGGGCACAGGGAAAGAGTGGGAGTGCACAGAGGAACAACCACTTGAAAGGCAAGAGAGGCCTGCCTGGGGAGGCCTCCAGGGAAACCGAACCTGTACCCCTCAATCTCAGATTTCTGAACCTAAAACTATGAAAAAATTAACTTATTATTTTAAACACCCAATCCATGGCATTTGGGGGGAGACCTAACAAACGAACACTGTAAGAATATGCATGGAATTATAAAAACATTTTCAGAAAAACAACTTATTTTACCAGACAGGCTCAGTTCTCTGATAGACTAAGTGAGATTGCAGCATGTTATCTGCAATCATCAGTGGCCTAATAAGCACTGGGTTCAACGGTATCATCAGCTAAAAAAATGAAATTAATACCACAAATCAAATCTTCATCATAACACAATGCATCTAAGTTCTTCTCCAGACGGACAAGATTCTAGATAGAGGTTATTTATCTAACATGGAAAGCTACATATACATGTGAGCAAGAGGGAAAGAGTGAAGTATTTAACAAGGAATTGCAAGGGGAAACTATTACATGATCAGCAATACAAGAAAGACCTAAAAAATCTTTTACTTAAATATAAAAGCAAAATATGTTTCCTTCAAGAAAAAATACTAATGATCTCATTATAAAGAAAACCACAGTTAATATTTTGAAACACAGCCTCCAAAATTTTATTCCATGCTCACTTACCTGTCGCTAAATAACTGAGAGGACATTGTCTTACTGTTCTGCAATTTGTGCTTTTATATTTAAGGTGTTACAAATGGTTTCCCACTTCAAGTATTCTCCTGTAACATGCAGGAATTCAAAGAATGATTACTTATAACATAATATCCTGAAAAAACAACTTAGTTGGACTTTTAGATTATGCCCAGATTTGTATCATTATGTATAGTCCTACAATGAATATCCTTGTAGAACTATCATTGAGCCCATTTCTGAATATTTCCTTAGAATAAGTCTTAAAAATTAAATTGTATCATGGCTTTGTTTTAATAAAGACATCCTTTCATCTCTCCCTCTCCTTCTCTCTTTCTGTTTCTTTTATATGTACACATGCACATGTGTATACATGCACACACACTGTCCCTCTCAATGCATGATGAAATAAACATTTCAAATGAAATCTGAGACTGGAGTAGAAAAAGGATGCATGCATTTTGCAAAATGAAATATTTCTTAAAAACAGACTGGGATAATTGAAATAAAATGCATGTTTAAAGCATTCAAAATAAAAAGTGTTATTTTTCGGTTACACTAAAGCAGAACTTGTCTCTTTTTGAAAGCATTATTTCTTGAAACCAAGAAACAGAAAATGTACTCTATGTCATTTTTAAGTAGAGAAGATGGTGGGGAAACAGTAAAATTAACCCAATACTTCTAAGTGACAAATATGAAAATCAATTACCGAAAATGTCTAGAAATCTTATAACATGGTATCTCATGTCAACATGGCATCTCATGTCTTGTCAACAATCATAGTATTCAATAGCATGAAAAAAAGGAAAAATGTCATGAGCACAAAATAGCAAGATTCCATTTAGCTCTCATTTCCCTTTTACTGTCCAAACACTAGGACTATTCTTTGTTCATTAAGTCACCTGCTTTCTTCAGTGTCAACTCCATAAGATCGCATCTACCCTTAATCTTTCAACGATTTACCTTATATGCTACCTCAATAACATATTCAAATGAATAGTAATACCTACAAAGAAGAGACCATATCGAACTCAAATCTTAACATTATACTCATAATTACATTATCTAACAACAAAAATTTTTTGTCAACATAGTCAGGGTATAAAAAAATTGACTTCTGGCTCTCCCTGGTGGCGCAACATGTTAAAACACTGCATTATGAAGCTATCCAAAGCCACTGCAGCACGAGTTGGATCCCCAGCCAGGGAGGTGACCCACATATCGCGGGAGACCTTTTCTGACCCACCTGCTGCTCCCTCAGCAGTGTACTTTGTCAATCTGCCTGTGCTGCTGCCCACGCTATCTCTGGTAAATCCTCCCACCCACCACACCTCCGGCCTGTACTCCAGTACTGTAGCATAAATAAATAAATCTAAAAAAAAAAAAAAATTGACTTCTTTTCTGTCCTAAACTTCATAGCATTAGCTTGTTTCCCATGCTTTTATCTTTTTTAAAGATTTATTTAATTATTTATGCATCTAAGAACTCCGCCAGAGATGTGAAAGGTGAGAGGATTTACCAGAGACAGAGTGGAGAGCAGAACAAGCAGACATTCTGAAATACACTGCTGAGGGGAGCAGCAGGTGGGTCAGGAGAGGTTTGCCATGCCATGTGGGTCACCCCTCCGACTAGGAATCAAACTCATGCTGAAATGGCTGTGGATCACTATGTTCACAGTGGTGTGCTTTAACCCATTGCACCACAAGGGAGAGCCCTGTTTCCCATGTTTTTAGTTAAAAATAACCACCTTAAATGTTCTCACCACAGAAAAGAAATGGTAAGTATGTGATACAATAGAGGTGTTAGCTAATTCTATGGTGATAGTCATTTTACAACATTTAATTGCATCAACTGAATATATGTATACCCTACAATTATATCTCAATAAAGATGGAAAAGAAAATTGCCAGTAACCAGTGTTGTCTTCGCAAACCAAATCATTTTTTTCCATACGTGTCTAACATTATCTTTATATTGAGAATCCCTGAGTTTGCCCAGACTGACCTCCATGTAATGATTGTGCCATTGGGGAAGATAACTATTTGAGGAGGGAGGAAAAAATATTATATGAAAAATTTGAATCCTAATGGTCTCAAAAGGTTGAAACTAGAAGTAAAAAGTAAGCTAGCTCTAGATATATGCCAAAACACAAACAGTAAAAAGAAAATTAGAAAGTTCAACTTCATCAAAATTAAAAATGTTTGTTTCCAAGGACCCTAACTAAAAAGTAATGATATCCCAGAAGATGAGAGAAAATATTTGCAACTCACAAATCTCAGATGAACCTAGTATCCAGAATACATGTAATACACAATTCAAAAACAAAGACAAAGAACCCACTTAAAAATGAGCAAAGGACTTAAACAGAGATATATCGCCAAAGAAGCAGCCAATGAGCACATAAAAAGATGGAACATATTATTCATCATTAGAAGAGTAGAGCTCAAATCCTATACAATTCACACCTACTAGACTAACTATAATTAATAACAAGAATAGAAAAATAACCAATACTGGCAAGCATGAAAAAAAACTGAAACCCTCATACATTCCTGGTTGGAATATAAAATGGTACAGTTACTATGAGAACAACTTAATTATCCTTCAAAAAATTAAACAAAGAGTTACCACATGTACTAGTAATTTCACTCTTAGATACATAACTAAGAGAATTAAAAATTTACATTTTCACACAAAAAGTTACACATGAATGTTTACTGTAGTATCATTCATAACAATTAAGACATGAAAACAACCTAAATGCCCATCAACTGGTGAATGGATAAACAAAATGTAGTATTATACATAAAATGGAATATTATTTGTTCATACAAAGGGGTGAAATACTGATACATGCTACGATATGGATGAATTTCAACATAATGTTAACTTTCTTTAAGCTATTGCTATTTTTTGCACTACTAATGTGGAAGACACTCATATGAGAAAAGAGGAAAAGTCTTGACAGGTATTGTGACTAAGATGTCTTCTCTCCATAAATTAGACTTCAATGATATATTTTTACAAAAGCAGATATATCACCAAGAGCCCTACCACTGAAGAGGAGACTCAATTTAGTTTTTAGCCTGTGGCTCCTGCTATGGGAAGGTCATTTCCACCCTTGTCTTCTTTTGAAAGCTCCCAAGAGCAGAAGATTTTACATTCTCTCCAGCTAACCCTTAAAATGGCCTTGAAGATGTCAGCAATTATTCTTGATACTTTTTACTCTTATTGTCTCTTATCACCAATGGATGTAGAAGTTTTAGAACTTATATCTACAGAACCTTACTGGATTGCTGTTTCTCCTTTTCTTTAGTTTTCTCACAGATGTTTAATCTTTAAATTGTTTAATTATCTTTATTCCTGCTTTGCAGAGTTCTCTGAGGACTGCATAACTTAAAATACAAAGCACCTTACTCTGTACCTGGCACATAATAAGCACTGAATACATTTTCCTTTCCTGCCGAACTAAGAACTAAAGTATTATCACTATCAGAATGAGAGGCAGCTGATTCTGATTAGAATCTCACAATGAATGTATAGGCAAGCCTCACAAATCCCCAAGTTTTTATCTTCTACTTGGAATGTTCAATAAAGTAGTATTATAAAACCAGATCCTAATTGTTCTTCCTTACCTACTTTAGTCAATTTTTATCCAAATCTCAATTTTTTAGCTATTATGTGTCTTTTAAAGCTTAGATTTTTAAACTAAAATAGTTCTAGAAACACACACTATAAATAGACATCCTTTGTGAAAACTTTTTTCCTTAAAATGATTCCTAGTCTCACCTAAACCTCCGACACAGTTCCACTTAAAATGTTTTTTGCTCTTCTTACAGTCACTGTAAATGTGCTCCTCCCTCCCTTTCAAAATGTGAAACCTTGTCAAAAAAGGAAGATTTCATAAAATCAAACACCTACAGTAATATTGCAACATGCTAGGCTGTAACAGTGGGAGAAAATTCAGTAAAAATGGTATCTTGTTGCTTCAGTTTGAAACTCTCTTGTCTCTTTTTTACCGACTTTTAAAGCCAGAATAGCCTGTATGTTTCTCACAATACCAGTGTTTTCAGCTGAATTTTCTCCTCCTATTCTTAAGATTCTGTTCTGAAAGTGACAAAACATGAATGGGAAAAATACCAAAGTTTGATTTTTCAAATAACTACTACTTGAAGCTTAGTTTAGAAAAATTCTATTTTCACTTTCAGCTTTCTTTGCCTCAAAAAGAACTTGGCTTTTTGTCATGATCAAATGCTATGACAGAATGGCTAAATGAACCCTTTGATTCGCAACCCACTTTATCCTCAAATGCCACTACATTCCTGAGAATTTTTTTTCTTTAGTTCTGAGAATATAGCAAGACCCAGCTAAAGCAGCAGAATTTCCTAACACAAAGTTGCAAAACTTAACTTCTGATAAAGACTGCCTGCAAACTCAACAGACTGGTAATGCGATTCTACTGGATTACTTTTCTTCTATAAAGGAAAAATAGTTAAAAAAAAATCTCAACTAGAAATTGTTTACCTTAAAGAAATACTGTATTCAGGATAGAAGACACTTGTATATTGGACCCATGCACCAACTTCCTCTTCAGCTTCCCTTTTTTTGGCATCTGTGACCGAAAACAGATTAAATGATTCAAATCTTCTTACAGATATGTTTCGCAGACAATCATCCAGGTGTTTTTGCTTCAGAACCTTTGAAATAAAACCAAAAACTGTGGTCATATTATATAAAGTTAGTAGTTCAAAGGTAAAGGGGTTTTTCATTCCCATAATGGCAGGTTAGAGAATTCAGACTAACATCTCACTGAGCACAGTAAAAAAGATGGACAGAGTATTTTAAAAACACTATTAGAAGGCATCAGAAAGCAATGAAGAGAGTGAAGATTTACCAATAGCACAAAGGGGAGATAAACTTAAAGGTGAGAAATGCATTAGCAACAAGCACTGATCTTGTGGGGACACTTGTCAGTTAAAAAGAAAAAGAAGAGAACTTAGGAAAGTCCTCGCTATATAGTGCTGCATACGCGTTTCAATTAGCATTAATGTATCTTGAAACTGGTTAAAAATAAGGTATCTAGGGCCCTCCCTGGTGGCGCAGCGGGTTAAAGCACAGCACTGGAAAGCTAAAGCCACTTCCGCCTGAGTTCGATCCCCGCCTGCCGCCTGCCCCGGAGGTGACCCACATGGCGCGGCAGACCTCCCCTGACCTGTCCGCTGCTCCCCTCAGCAGTGTACTTGTCAGTCAGCCTGTTCTGCTCCCCACTCTGTCTCTGGTGAGGCCTCTCACCCTCCTGCATCTCTGGCCTGTACCCCAGTTCTATATGCATACATAAATAAATCTTTAAAAAAAAAAAGGTATCTAAATATTGTTTAATCATTTCTATCTAATATGTGGCATTAATAATTTATTTTCTGCTTCTGAAATTTTGAGTCATTGCAAAGAAAACAAAATGTAAGTGCCTGGCAATTTTCATTATGTATTCATAAATCAATCATAATTTTTTTTAATTAAACATCTCATTTTGCTTTAAAAAGAAAATAGTTGAGCACCTTTAACAGCTCGTGAAGTTAAGGGGTAAATAATGAACACCTAGGCAGGGGCAGGTATGTTATTTCAAACCCTTATATGTATGTGTTTGTGTGTTTTAAAACAAAAAAAACCAAATGAGTAATTTTGTTGGTGTCAATGGAAACTGGTTTTAAGGTAGGTGAAAGGAGTTCAATAAAATTATACAAAAACTCTGTAGCTCTAAACCTGAATAAGGCGTAATATAAACTTATTTTACTTTCCATATATTTCCTACATCTGACTGCCGAAAAGGTCTAGAAATTATGACCAAATGCTACTCAGGTGTTCATGCCTAGACTGCAGTCTCTAAGTGCCACTTTCTATTCAAAGTCAAGCTCCTTTGGAGAAGTAAAAGAAATTGTACCATATGAGCCTGGAATACCCTGCACGCAAAAGAACAAGAAAGTCATAAGAAGAATTAAGGAGCCAATTTGCATAGTATCCATTGGCCAAAGATGAGACAGTGTGAGCATTATCAAGTGTAATAAATGTTAACAGAAGTGAGACACATTTAGTTCACAATGGTATTTTTTTAATCATTCATTGAAAGATGCTAGAAAATCAACTAAGACAGAAAGGGCACCCGGACAAGGACAGAACAGGACCCAAGGACAAAATTCTGCTGTTCCCATGGGCCGGTAAACAAGAGGTACAAGAAACTTGATGATGCTAGACCCAGACACTTGCTCCATAACTTTCCTTGGCTCTTTGTCAGCCTATCTCTGAGCTTCTTTCCACAGCTTATCAAGTTAGCTACTATGAGTAAAAGGGAGTTAACAACCCCAGAGAAAAAGGGAGTCACAGGCCTTGAGGCCAGACTAGTTCACACGGGTGCTACCAGCACACAGACTTCTTGGGATGGCCACGTGGAGACCCACGAGCCCTGCATGACCCAGCTGCAGCGGATTCAGCTGCTGGGCGCTCACACTAGCAGCAACTAGCCACAGTGGGCTTCAGCCACGTCCACTCTCCTGCTTTCTCAGCCAACAAAGTTTAATTTCTTTGTTCTCAAACCCCATTCCTAACCTATACGGCCCCCTTGCCCTGGCACCTCAGGGAATCTCTCCCATGCCCAGAGGTCTTCCTGGAGTTCGCACTCCTCGCTTTTTGCTAGTTAGTAAATGCTGAGTCCTGGCCTGCCCTCACTGGTGTCTGTGGAGTCCTCCGTCCAGTCCTGAGCAGAAGTTCTCAAGAGAACTTTCCCTGGCTTGGGTGCAGGTCATCTCTGGTCCACCCCTCCAAATCCCAGTGGGTGAGCAGTGGACAGTTTTGTTCCCTCCCAGCTAATCTGCCTGTGTTGCTGGAGGGTGCCCTCCGCTTGTCCAATGACACAATTATTGTATTTAAAAACTAGCAAATGCGGCCCTCCCTGGTGGCGCAGCGGGTTAAAGCACAGCACTGAGACTCTAAAGCCGCTTCTGCATGAGTTCAAGTCCCGCCTGCCCTGGAGGTGACCACATGGCGTGGCAGACCTCTCTGACCCGCCCGCTGCTCCCCTCAGCAGTGTACTTCGTCGATCTGCCTGTTCTGTTCCCCACTCTGTCTCTGGTGAGGCCTCTCGCCGCCCCTGAGCCTCTGGCCTGTACCCCAGTTCTGTATGCAAAAATAAAGTAAATCTTTAAAAAAAAAAAAAAAAACTAGTAAATGCAAAAGAATTAAATATTTACCTGTTTTTCCTATATGAACTATAACTAAAAGTATCCAAATAGAAGATGAGGTTAAGTTTCTCTTAATAGTAGTATCTCATGTAATGAATAAGGAATGACAGAATTAAAATGTCACCATTATTCAACTGCCTTATGCATTCGTCATCAAGAAATAACCAGATATCACTATTATTATTAATGACAGTATGCACCACATCCCCTTAACCAATCAAACAAAACATACATCAGATACGAATTTGATTAAGCCTCTCTGTAGCTACCCACTAGTAAAAAACATAAGGAATAGAGAACACATTAAATTAAATCAAGTGCAATCAGCAAAATTCATATGATGGAAAAAGTCCCAATTTCTTCAGTAAAAAATTGACTAGAGATGAAAAACACATACATAAGTAACCTTTAGATAAACACAAATATCAAAGTTAATACAAGAAGAAACAGAAAGTCAGGATATTTCAAAACTGTTTTTAAAATAGAGTGATAAATAAAAATATCGCAACAAAGAAACTCCAGGTCTTGATTGCTCACCAGCCAATTACCCAAGAAGTCTAAGAAAGAATGAAAAATGTTACCATAGTCTTCATATCATCCTCAAGTAACCCTATGTTGTAGATATTCATTATGTGAAAGAAGAAACGGAGGCAAACTTTATTTTCTCGAGGTCAAAGAGCGAGTATGAGGCAAATCCAGGCAATCTGACTCCAAAGCCAGACCTTTATACTACTGCTTGGTGAAAAATGGGTGGCTGGCATTAAACATCTATTACAACTTCCTTTACTAACATAATACCTTCCCAAATTATAAATCCAGAGAACTAGAAGTTTCATTTCCCAGAATTTCCTAGTAGCCAGGAGTTCAGATGTGATTTTGGTTTTGACAATGAGACGCACAAACATGAGATTTGAAGGGGAAAAAAGAAAATATATTAATTACATTTCTACAACTTTTGCTGGTAAGAATTATTGTAAAGCTGGTGTCAAGGTAATGATACCATACGTCACTAAGATAAAAAATCACTACATGCATAATACTAGAACAGGTTTTTATGATTGGTAAATCCCATATTCACAGTAGCAACAAAGCAATTCGATTACTCAATGAAAGTCAATAGGCCTCTATTTGAAGAACATGAAACAACTCAAAAAATTATATATTCCAAAATGTTTATTGTGACATTATTTGTAATAGCTAAGATGTGGAAGCAACTTAAGTGCCCACTGAGAGATGACTGGAGTAGATGTGGTGCATAGGTACACACACAATGGCTATTATTTAGCTATCAGGGAAGATGAAATCCTGCCATGTGCAGCAAAATGGAAGAATCTTAAAGGGATTATGTGATGTTAACCAGAGAGATAAAGACAAATACTGGATGATTTTACACAAGTGAGCAATATAAGGAAACACAGCAAAAGAAATGACAAAGTAAAATAAAACTAAACTAGTGCACATTGATAGCCAAACTGAAGTTACCAGAAGCAAAGAAGGTAGGAGGTAGAGGGGATGAGAGTGAGGGGGTATAAGGGTGTTTGTTGACATTGTGGAATATGGTTTCTTTCTCAAAAAAAAAAAAGTAAGCACCTCATCAAAGCACCATTTAACAACTTAATCCTTTCATTTCTTTGTACCAAGTCATATATACAGTAATAGATGGAAGGAGGGTGTGGACCAAAGCATGTGCCTAGCTCATATTTAATTAAAGAACAAGAAAATAACCTGTAGCTTCTTCCACCGAAAAGTAGTTAGTATAACAGTGTAAGATAATATCTTGGTTTTTTTTTTGGGGGGGGGGTGAGGTGGGGAGGAGTCTCTTTTCCCAGAATTCTCATTCTAATGAGAAAAACAAATCTTGATCTAATGATTATAAAACAGTATTATTAAGAGGTCTACACCAGAGTAAACAGAAGGTCTAACCCAGGTATTACAGGCTTCCCAGAAGAGGAGACTGAAATGAGGACTGAAGGATGAACCATATCATTAAGTAGAGAAGATAAAAATACTAAGCAAAGGGCACATCGCATACTAAAACATTAAATGTCAAAAAGTGGGGAGTTCAAACAGCAGCCATTTTTGAAAGCTGACTTCATTCTGATCTCTATGTTAGCAAATCAGAATGAACAAAAGCTCTAGTCACCTGGACCTTTACAACACCAAAAGTCACTGAAGTCAGGTCTTTGAACAGTCATGTCTATCTGTACAGTTTGATAAAGCCCTAAGTTAACATTCTACTAATTCAATTTTAACCTACGCTTATTTCACTACAGTTCCTATAATGGTTTTTGAAGACAAGCATTTTATTATCCCATAAGGCATTGGCAAATTTAACTGCAAAAACAGGTCATTAACACTCAGGAAAGACTTTCAATACAACTGCATAGACAAATTATCTTATTTAACTCTAATAAATTGCCATGACTACACTGGAAGGCTGTCATGAGCAGGTGACTCCAGACAATTACAAAGTCACCACTAAACACTAAAAGCTCAGCCTCAAGTAATTTGGCAGGAGGTGGGAAGTTATTCTCGAAATACTACAGGAAACATAACAGAAATGGAAAGTGCCTTGAGTGAAGTTTTCAGCAGGACACCTCTGGCAGAGGCACAACAACTGCGTGTAAAACAATTAACACATTTCACTTCAAGCAGTTTGGAAAGCGGGTCAGTGATGTCAACTCAAGAATCTGTCAAATCTGCACGCGAGTGAAGTTACCAACAACAACAGCAACTACCAAGTGCTACAAAAAGCCGGCACTAAAAAAATCAGCACACCCGGACTAGTCCACCACCGACGCTGAGCAAGTCGCCGGTCGCTTCTCACTCCAAGAAAAGCAAGCAACTTGCAGATTTCCAAGAAACTCTTTAGGGCCGGACTTAGAGCTAGAATCAGGCAAGGAGCTAGAAAAAGAAACCTGAAAAAGTAAACTAAAAACAAGAATGAAGCATAGAACAGGTTGGGGCGTGGCGGTCCCTATGTGGCCAGCGAGAGGGAAAGTTCCAGTTGCAGACAAATGCCTAGAAGGGCATCTTTTACGTCGATTTGAGTTTCCTAGGAGCTCAGCCTCGACTGTCCCCTCCCCGCCCAACCTCATCTGAAACCTCCCTTTCGGTGGGACGGTCGCACGAAGCAAGGGGGCGCTTTTCACGTGGCTCCCGGCAAAACCGAGAGGGAACTACCCGAGCTGCCAGGGAAGAGGGGCTGCCGGTCCGGCGCGCGGGAGCTGCGAGGGGAGTGGCCAGGGCGAAGGTGAGACGCGTGGGCTGCCCCTTACCTGTCGCAGGAGCTTCCACCGAGCGACTCCCAAGGGCGCCGAGACAGTGGGCTCCCGAGCGACACCGCAACTTGCAGGGTCGGCGTCCACACCTCGCTCGGTCTCGCTGGCTCCCGCATCCGCTACAGGCGACTCCATCCCTTTAAAGTCGCCCATACCACAGTCTGCCGCGCCACAGCTCTCCCCAGCTAGGACCTTAGTACTTTTTCCCTACCAGGACCTGTGACGCCGGGCCTCCCTCCCGCTTCCCTGACGTGAGCCCTCCCCGATTTCCGCATTTCCGGTATTTGCGTCTCCTTAGCAACCAGGGCAACGCTCCTCGCGTCACTGCACCATTTTGCTGGTGGCCATTTTGAGTAAGGGCAAACTGCAGGGGTATAGTGCCAAGTAAAATCAATGATCGCCGCCCCTTTTTGCCCTCTTCTCTCCTGTTTCATCTGTAGTTCAAAATATGAGCAAAGGCTCAAAAGCCGTAAACTTATGGAGGGTAAATAGTTAGAAGAAAAAGAAAAAAAGAATCCATTCTTGACCACAACAAATATGGCGAAATCGGCTTTGTGCTCGTGTTAGGTTGGGGTTACGTAGACTGGCGTGCTGCAAACCAGCTAGAGGCGGCTGGGGATAGGTTGTGGTTCTGCAGGCTGCGAGAACGCACTCTTCGGCTGGACTCGACTGGGGTGACTTCTGTGCTCCTTCTGAGAGCTTCAGTTTCTCCGGCCTGCCGCCCTTGGTCTCGGTGTCCAGAGCAGGACTCGCGTACGTATGGAAGGGTGTGCTAGGGTTATCTTCCCTTGTCTCTTTCCTCTCCCACCCTGACACCCTTCAGTCCCCTAGTCCTCGCTTTTGAACGTGGTTCCTCACTACCTGGCAGTCCCTCTTGCCTTCGGATCGCTTCATCCCTGGAGTAGATAGTTGCACTGAGAAAACGAATAGATTCTCCCAGGATCTCCCATTCATTTACCCCACCCCCACCCTTAGCCTTGCATACTATCTTCGCTCTGAAAATGAAAGGTGGGGGCCTGAGGCTGCCGCCATGGATGGAGTGATTTACGCCCTTGCACTCCCCTGTTTTTCTGAACATTTGATTGAGCAGTGTGTGAGTCAGTGAGTGAATGTGTGTGGCGGCTACGGATCCACTACTCGCTCCCGTTATCTTGCTCTGACATAAAAAGAGATGGGGTGGGGGAGAGAGGCATTGTAACGGAGCAGATATATGGAAAATCTGACGCAGTTTTGTTTGATCCCGGTGGGGCATTTTATTGATAAATTCAACAACAATGTGCAACATGCCCTGATTTTCCCTATCTTACTCATAGAAATCACCATTTATTGAGTGGTTACTACGTGCCTGGCCCTACTAAGATCTTAACATAAATTGTCTCATAAATTCATCCTTAACCACAAAGCCAAATGGTCCCATTATCTGTTTTGCATATGAAGAAACTGAGGCAAACAATGTGATGAGTAGTAAGTGCTGGAGTCAAGACCTGCCTTAACTACATACTAACCTTACTTAATAGGTTAATAGCTGTAAAGTCCAGTTGTCATTATTACCAAGATTTGGAACAAAATCTGGACTTTTTTTCTACTACTTAACTGTTCTGAGTGACAGTGGCAATTAGTTACACCTTCCAAAACCTCAGTTTGCTTACCTGTAAAATGAACATAATAATAGCTACTCTATCAGTTCCTTGTGAAATTTAAATTATTAACGTTTACAAAAGTATCTGGCACGTAGCAAGCACTTAAATATTAATCTCCCTCCTCCACCTCTTTTAAGTAGACTTTTCCACTTTATCCTCCATTGATAAACCAAAGATTTAAAGATACGTTCTGAAATATGTATAATCAAAGCCATTTTGCCTTTTAAAACCCTGAGAGTTCCTGAGATATTCCCATAAAGTCTGTGTACTTATTTACATTTTTTGTTTGTGTTTGTTTTGTATGTGTCTTCTTTTTGTTTTTTGTTTTTTGTTTTTTTTTTTTAGTTTGCCCTTATGTGTACCAGAATCAGTGCGGCATAATTTGAGGCTGATAAGATTAACTTTACAAATGAGACATTTAAGTCACATCTGTCAAGAAGTAACATTTAAAGGAAACTAACTTGTACAAGTTTTCAAATGCTTTAACCTGAGTTATCAACTGTCTGTTCGGTAACACATAACCTGAAGGGTTCATAGTCCTGACGGGGAGGGATAAGAACTTTGAATCTTTGATGCTCTGAGAACCCACTATTATAGAACCATACCTATATGCTGGCTTCCCCAAAGGGAGAATAACCAGGGACTTATATCATGCAGCAGAAGAGCAAATTATTTCTCCAAGCTTTCAAATATAGTATTCCTCACCTTGGGAAATGCATGCAGAAACAGCATGTGAATCACTGTAACTTCGCTGACCATTATTACAATAGAATAAAGTTGAAAAAATATCACCTAACAAAGTATCTGCAGAATAAGGCCAAGATATCAGAGTTAGCAAGAAACATCCCAAGTCGGAGCTTCTCGTGTAAGGTATGGACTATTTAAGTTAACCTATTTATAAGTCATTAAGGATAATTTAAGTTTAAAAATAAAGAATGGATAGGATATGAGTTACTAAATTTCTCATAATTGTCGTTTATTTTTTAAAATGTTTATGCCAATTTTCTAGTTAAATAATAGTATAAAACAAATAACCATATATATTTACAGAACTCTAATGTAATATATTACAATGTATTTATAAAAATTGATTCACCTTTAGGAGTTCTTAGTGTGCCTTCCAGTGTAATGCAGAGTATAATTCAGCTTTCTAAAATATCATATTAGCTCTTACTAAAAGCTAAGAATATGCTAATTGCTTTTTAATGAATCCCACATCAGTAAACTTCAGTAAAGCACTAGATGTTACTTTTATGTAAAAACAATTTTAAAAGGACTTGGATTTTGATCACTGAGGCTCTTCAGAAAAATGCTTTTGGGCATGGTACTTTGGCCAGATCCCAAGCAATGGGCGTGAGCTGGTCCTGGAGAACTCAGATGTAGAGTGACCACACTTCATTTTGCCTGGGACAGTCCCAGTGCACATCTGTTGTCCCTGGGTAATTACTAACAGTGTCCCCTTCCTCGCAAATGTATCATGGTTAGGATGATAAATTAAATTCTGAGTTCCCCCTACTTATTTGAGGTGTCTCTCTGATATACCTTCCCTACCTGGTACTTGCTATATTCCTTAGGTTTCTTAAATTATTTGGAGATGATACTTTTACAATATTTTTACCATATTTTATTAATCTTTTCATTTCTTCTTTTACTTGGTACATACTGATTTTTCTGTTACTCTATTTTGGGTTCCTTGTATTTTATTGTGGTAAAATACGCATAACATAAAGGTAGATATTTTAATAATTTTTCAGTGTATAATTCAGTGGCATTAATTATATTCACAATGTTCTACAACTCATCACTATGGCTAAAACCATCAGCAGCTCCCCAAAATGCACCCATTAAGCAAAAATTCCACACTCCTGTTTTTCTTGAGCACTGGTAACCTTTACCTTTCTATCTCTATGAATTTGCCAATTCTAGATAACTGATATAAATCGAATCATACATCTTCTTGCATTTGTGGTATATATCAGAATTTCAATCCTTTTTATGGCTTAATAATATTCCTTTGTGCATATACACCACATTTTGTTCATCCATTTGTTGGACACGTAAGCAGCATTTTCTATTTTAAAACAATTTTTAAATCTTATTCTACTCAGTTATGGTTTTGCTTAATTTTTGCTATTCTCTTAACTCATGTTATTTGTTGTATTTTTTTTGGAGGGGGAGGAGGGCAATTTACTTTTAATTTTTATCTCTTAATCACTAGCTTTTACTCTACATTTTAATCTTTCAAATTAGTTTTCTTTTTATAATACCCAAATTGAGCACTTTTTTCTCTACTCATAAATTCCTTTATGCCTTCCTTTTGTTTTTATCTTCTATGTATATGCATGCACAGCTTTATCCCACTTTAGAACAAATTTTAAAATCTTACCTATTAGACAAATTTAGGCCGTTAGATCATTTTATTTTGCACTGTATTTAGGGCATTTTGACATCTTAGACTTCTGTCTAAGTCTTAGCTTATAAATAGAAGACAGGGATTATCATCAGCATGACAGCTGTGAGATTAGCTCACGTTCTAAATAAGAGGCTATTTTTCCCTGTCCATTTGTTCCTGAAGCAGCTTTTCAATTCTCTTTCCTGCCACCTAGAAACTTTAACCTGACTCAGGAACTCTTTTCCTAATTATTTTACCTGATAAAGTGGCCCTGCTTTTTGGCACCCATTCTTTCTGTGAGGTGTGATAGGATCTAAAAGTGGTGTCTGTCCTTTCCGATCCTTGGGACCTGGGAAAGCTGTGAAGAGACCTGTAGACAAAAATGCACTTTCTTTCATTCAGCTCTGAATGCTTTGTTTGCTCTGATTATGACTGCAGTAAATTAGAAAAAGAATTAGTATCTATAGGCAAAATAAAATCTATTTTCTTAGATGACCATAGATCTGAGAGATGGGGGTGGGGGGAAGGGCAAAACAAGAGAGGGAAGGGATTGGTGATGCATTGTGGGTGCTCTGGTGGCTGGAGAATCACGGAGACTATGTCTGAGGGGAGAAATCAAAATACTAAGCAAAAATTAATAGAGATGTAAGAAAACTAATCAGTTAATTATTTTTTTTAAAGATTTATTTATTAGTACAGAATTGGGGTACAGGTCAGAGATGCAGAGGGTGAGAAGATTCACTAGAGATAGAGTGGGGTGCAGAACAGGCAGATCCACTGCTGAGGGGAGCAGCGGGCGGGTCAGGAGAGGTCTGCCGCGCCATGTGGATCTCCTCCGGGGCAGGCGGGAATCGAACTCATGCGGAAGTGGCTTAAGCTTCTTTGTGCTGTGCTTTAACCCGCTGCGCCACCAGGCAGGGACCAGTTAATTATTTTTAAAAGATGCATAGAAAAAAGTATTTGCTTAAAGACCTTTTTATGCCAATTAATTTAAGAAAAGACAGGCCAACATATGAGAATAGGAGAGGCTGTCCAAAGAACAGGATTGTCCCACACAAAGAGTACATGGGGAGATTGGAAGTTTGGTTCTGGACATGTTTTAACCATCTATTAGACATCCAAGTAGAAATGTTGAGTAGTCAGTTAAATACATAGGTTAAACTGTTCAAAAGAATGTTCAGGATTGAAATAGAAATTTGGGAGTCCCCAGCTTATAACTACCAGGTTTTAAGGTGATGATCATACAGGAAATGACCAAAGGGATTAGTGCAGGCTATAAATAAAGAAATGGGACAGCACCTGTTTATGGGAAAAGCCAGGGACTTAAGGAAGAACCAACCCAAAGAGACAGTAGGAAGGGCCAACGGAATGGGGTAACAATGAGAGTGAAGTGCCCCACAAGCCACACAAGAAAAGTATGGTTAGGAGGAGGCAGTGATGTGTCTTGCTGATTTAGGTCAAGCAGTATGAGTTATCTTACTGTAGTTGGCTATGTGGAGATCATCAGTGACCTTGAGACTGAGAATGAGAAGGGCAAAAATCTTAGTGAGCTCAAGTGAACAAGGGGTGAGAGGAATTGGCAACTGGGGCCATGAAAAGCTGTTACTTTCCTTCATGTAACAATCACTTTTTAGAAACAAAAGGCATATAGAAGTGCATATAAGTAGAATGTTTTTGGAGTATTTTGTAAATGCTAAATAAGATCATATGATTTCATGACTGTATCAAGTAGTTTAATTAATTTAGTGTGATCCTGTGTGAAACAACATAGAGACCATTTATCAAGTTAAAGAAGTTCCTCTCTATTCCTAATAAAGTTAAGGAAGTTCCTCTCTATTCCTAATAAAGTTAAGGAAGTTCCTCTCTATTCCTAATAAAGTTAAGGAAGTTCCTCTCTATTCCTAATAAAGTTTTATCATTTTCAAAAGTAAGTGTGTTACTATGTATTTTTTCTGCATTAATTGACTTTAAGATTTATCTACTCACTTTGTGTTAGGTTACATTGATGGAATTTTCTGAAATCAACCATCCTTTTATTCTTAAGCTAAATCCTACTTGATTGCATAGGGTTTTAAATTATTATTCTCATTGTTTTGTGCTTTTAAAAATATACATTGGTTTTTTAAACAAATGGCATATGAGAAGATTATCTGTTACTTGAAGATTCAAGAAAGCTAACTGTGAAAGCATATGAGTTTGGTGTCTCTTAAGAAAGGAACACTTACCAACTTAGTTTCTTTAGTAGTTGAGTAGTTTAGTATATATTGATTTATATAGTATCTGTATATTATAAATCAATTTTGGTAATTCAATTTTTTCCATTTTATCTATGCTTTCAAGTGTGTTGGCATAAAGATATCTTCATTAACTCTATAACTATGCCAACTTTTTCATTCCTGCTATCTTTGTCTCTTTTTCCTTGATCAGTTTTGCTCTCTTTCTTTCTTTCTTTCTTTCTTTCTTTTATTTATTTATGTATACAAGAACTAGGGTACAGGCCAGAGTTGGGGGCATGAGAGGATTCACCTGAGACAGAGTAAGGAACAGAACAGACAGACTGACTGAAATATATTGCATAGGAGCAGCGGGTAGGTCAGGAAAGGTCTGCCACACCATGTGGTTCACCTCCCTGGGTGAGGATCAAACTGATGCTGCAGTGGCTTCAGCCTCACAATGCTGTGCTTTAACTGGTTGGCCACCAAAGAGGGCCCAACTGTGTTTCTTTTTTTAGACATGGTGAAGAGCCAGGTTTTTGTTGATTCTTTGTAGTTTCTTTGCTACCAATTTTATTGAAACATTGATTTCCCTTCTTTGATTTCCTTTAGGTTTACTCTTCTGTTATATCTTCTTAAATTGAAATGAGCTTTTTGTTGCACTCTCAGGAGACACATAGTATCAAGAGATACATAATGTCTGCTTTCCCACTATTAAAAATGCTAAATTTGGACCCTCCCTGATGGCTCAGCGGTTAAAGCACAGCACTGAGAAGCTAAAGCCACTTCAGCATGAGTTCAATCCCCGCCTGCCCCGGAGGCGACCACATGGTGTGGCAGACCTCTCCTGGCCCGCCCACTGCTCCCCTCAGCAGTGTACTTCGTCGATCTGACTGTTCTGCTCCCCACTCTGTCTCTGGTGAATCCTCTCACCCTCCGCATCTCTGCCCTGTACCCCAGTTCTGTACGAATAAATAAATAAATCTTTAAAAAAAAATGCTAAATTTGATAATTCTGGTTAAGTTAGTAACTACTAACTTTCCACATTATTTTTTTCAAGAGTTAGTTATTTATGCATATAAAACTGGGGTACAGGTCAGAGTTTGGGGAGGGTGAGAGAATTAACCAGAGGCAGAGCAGAACAGGCAGAGATATTGAAATGTACTACTGAGGAGAGCAGCGGTCAGGTCAGAAGAGGTCTGTTGTGCCATGTGGGTAACCTCCATGACCAGGGATTGAACTCCTGCTGCAGCAGCTATGATAGCCTCTAGTACTGTGCTCTAACCGGTTACACCACGAGGGAGAGCCCTAACTCCCCCCATTATTAAAGGGGCATTATTCCCTTGAAATTATTGATGTTGTGATTATCCAGTTCATTTCACCTAACTGAATTCTACAACCATTGAAGATCTTTAATCACTTGTTTCACTGGGAGGTGCTTATGGCTTTCTATATTTCTTTCTATATTTATTAGCTAGCATTCTATAAAGAAGAGGTCAGTTAATTTGTTTAACTTCAAATTACTGCTTGTGAATTTTTATTTTTTCAGGGTGCTCTAATTAAATAGAGTCATTATTCTTTTTGATGCTCAAATTGTCCCCAGGTGTAACTAATAGGGGCCCCTTTAAACTTAAACTTGTCTTATTTTGACACATCTCCATGAATCTTCCTTGCTTTCTGGCACAAGCTGTCCCAAGCTGACTTTGTACTCCCTGGTTCAGACTTGGAACTGACCATTTAATAACAGCACCTCTCAAAAGCTACTCAGTGCCTTTCTGTTACTGTACCATTTTTCTTTGAAGAAGTCAGCCTTTTTGTCATAATAAAGTTAACATCGTTTGTTGTTCTATTTTACAAGTTCTGTTAAAATGGTTTGGTGCTAGGTCACCTGTAAGGTGGGAAGAATTGCTTCTTTCCACAAATGCGTGATATGCGTGATGCTGTATTTGTAATATTCTTAAAATGTTAAGTTAAAGCTCTGCTTACCTCAGCCCCATTAAGTGGAATATGCCTTGAAACATACTATTAAAACATTAAGAGACTTGGTTAAAATGGTTAGATTTAACTCTAATAATAACAGCAGCTGACATTGAAATGAGAGCTTAAAACACTGCATGGGCTTCAAGAACCAGAACAAGTTGGAGTATATTATATACATTATATGAAATCTCAGTTTCCCTGTGAATATGGCCTCCTAAAGAATTGCAAAATTCTTGAATTCTGCCTCCATCCTTTTAAAGCAGCCAAAAAAAAAAAATTCTGTTGCTTTCAGGGCTCTTTTGTTTTAGACAAGCTCAGTTAATTTGGAATAAAGTTAACTATGAATGTGAAATAAATCTAAGAGGCTAGTGTTTGGCTTGAACTGTGCATCAGCCATGATTCTCAATAAGAGGAGATTTTAAAGTGTCAGAGCTCAGCTCCCGGATTAGAATGTGCTAAGAGCTGCCAAGGAAATACTCTTTCTTCACAGCTTTCCAAATCTACTTCAAAATTTCTAGTGAGAATTATGGAACAGATAAGCACAGATCTGGAAATAAAAAGGCAGACTCTGTTGCCGAGTTACAGTTTCAGGGTAGATTTCTGGTGATCTGATTTATGTTTAGGGTGCCATTAGGAAATCACATAGAAATTTTGTCGCATTACTCTAAAGAACAAACCTAGGTTTTGCAGAATTACTATTAACTGAACATATGGGCCTCCAATATTTAGATTTCAAAAATTACCCGTACTGTTTGGATGATTAAGGGATGACTGAATAGTTTGACTATCCCAAAGCATAAAGTATCTCAAAAAGGATAAATTTTGTGAAAATGATTAATTTTTTATTTGTTCTGGTGATTTTTCTATTTTAGTCTTATTTTGTTTAATTTATAAAATTTATGTGATGTAAACTATATTCATAGCTTATATTCTCCTCAGTCTTGGCTAAGTATCATGGACATTGTGCAATAAATAATTACCAGCTGTCGAAGGGCCTTACCCAGGGCTTAGTAGCCCTGTGGCACAGATCACCATACAGTCATCATCTTTGGCTGAGACTTGATGTGGAAAATCTTGACTAGAATTCATTTGCTTAAGGTAAATTGATTTATTGAATACCTTTTTTTATTTGACAACTGAGGTAATGCCTTATTCAAATTTTAATAACCCCTACAATACTTGGGTGCTGATCAAAAATCAATGAAAGCTTTTAGTTTTTCAGATATTCTCAGTAGGATATCGAGTGCTTATTTAGCATCCAGCTGTATCAATAATCATATTTATTTTTCATTGTTCTTTTAAAAGGTAAATACGCTATATTTCTCCTAAAACTGAATGAAAAGCTCTGTCTTACAAAGCACTCATTTACCTTTTCATCTGATAGGCAGTCCTCTTTGGCAGATTCCTTATCCCTACAAGAGAAAAAAATGATAAAGTAGAATCAATTTTATAAGTCTTACTGCAAATTAAATAATAGTCAACACTTATCAGTAAAGATAACGTCTTCCCCTCTCATAACATCTCCCATATTTTAGGAAGTAATTTTAGTTTATAAAACTCAGTAGAATTTTTCCTACCACTCAAACCTCACTATTTAAATATATGAACATTCATAGGATTTTATTTTCTGCTTAATATATAAGCCTTTCCGATGGTATTTCTGAACATTCTCCAGTAAGTCTTAATATTTCTGAATCTTAAAAGACTTATCAACTTAAATTCTGCATCTTTAAAACTTACCTACTTAGCCATTCAGTGTCTGCCTTTTTTTTTGTTTACACTTTTAAAAGAAACAGAGATCATTTGTTGAAATTAAGAAACATACCTAATAGCTATGTCTATTATTTTATTGATGTAGACCTAACATTATAGCACTTGCCTAAAAAGGAAATAACAATTAAAAAGCAAAGATCTCTTTTCCCCTAGTTTGAAATATTGCCATATGAATAAAAATTTTTCCAGGATTTTCTGCCTGTTAAACAAGAAAAGGAAAAACCCCATCCAGAAAACATGGATGCATTTGAAAAAGTGAGAACAAAGTTAGAAACACAACCACAAGAAGAATATGAAATCATCAATGCAGAGGTAGGATATTGTGTTTTTGTTTTGCTTTTTAACCTGATACTGCATGTCAAGATGTAAGTGAAAATACCTGTGCTTTTTAGACATAATCCCACATCAAAATTAGACTGCCTTTGGCCTTTAGTACCTGCTGAAAACTTCTAAAGAAGAATAAGCAGTGTAATCCTTAAAATATGTTGTAAAGGTCAAAACCAAGCTAAACTTCCAGGGTACTATATAAATTCTAGTTTCGTTTAACCAATTCTGTTAAAAATGTTTTAAATAATCTCAAAAGAATTTAGGATAAAACTAAATCTTATTTGAAAAATACTTAGCTGTATTTACATTTTTTTTAGTAAAAGAAAATTCACTGTAAGTAGTGTAATACTTTGAAAGGCAAGTAATTTTTTAACGTTATGGTCATCACATTCTTAAGTACTCAATTGAAACAAATTGAAAATGCATGCTGAAAATATTACGGTAAAATTGGAGAGCAGAACCACAGATTATAAATGAATATTTTATTTATGGTTGAATGCATATAGCATTAGGTTAAGAATCAGAAATGCTAGCTTCAAATTATGACATTAACTGGAAGATAATAAATGTGCTCTGAGCTACCTCAATTCCTATCAGTCAGTTACATTTAATGAGTAAATATTAGGCAAGAGCACTATTCATATATTGTAATATTCTCTCAATCTCAAAGTGTCTATTATCTGTCACCCCACAGAAGATATATTATTGGATAGAATATAATCAAGATCATGGTGACAGCAGATAATCTCAGAAAGTTATTTACTGGATTTTCAGGCTAGCTTGAGACAGTTTCCTCATCAGTATCACTTTGGTTATCAACAAAGAGAAGATGTGACTGTATTACTAAATGATCCGCTCTGATTTTTTGTAATTAATACCGTGGGGAAGAACTTGATTTCTCTTAATTGAATTCCACTATAGAGATGTCAGATGTTCCCAAAATCTACTAAAGATATAGTGCCAAAATCTGTGTTTATGTGTTAGAAACTCCTTCAGTGATTTGTGAGCATAAGAAAATCACATCTTTAACCACTATATTATAAAGTCATAATTTTGCATTTTTTATTTGCGCATTCACATACAGCAGCTCTGCATATTATGAAAGATAAAATTTCTTTGTCACCTTAATCAGACCATTAGTTAAGCTAGCTAAACTAATGTCACTAAATAATCATTGCTATTATTATTAAAAGACCTTTGTTTTTTTGGTCAGATTAAACATGGTGGTTTCGTTTATTATCAAGAAGGTTGCTGCTTGGTTCGTTCCAAAGATGAAGAAGGTACACCATGATTTTTCAGATTTTACATATATCATAGGCATTTTGATGTTAATTTCTTGAAGGTATAAAACATATATTTTTAAGATTAGCTTGGAATTTGTTTAGATTTAGACTGTTTATTACTTACATAAACAGCAAAAAGAAGAGTAGTGAAGGGTGTCAAGTTCCTGTGGTCCTTTCAGATGATGCTGAAACAAAAGGGTCAGATGACTGCTTCTGAATTTTATTAGTGATCAGTTTTTTGTTTTTGTTTTAAGGTTTATTTTTTTATACATACAAGAACTGGGGTACAGGTCAGAGGTGGTGAGGTGAGAGCATTTACCAGAACAGAGTGTGGAGCAGAATAGGCAGATGTACTGAAATGCTCAGCTAAGGGAAGTGTCTGCTGCGCCATGTGGGTCAGCTCCCTGGGAATCGAACTCAAGCTGCAGTGACTGGCAATGGCTTGACAGCGCTGTCTTTAACCCTCCTGCCACCAGGGAGGCCCCCTGATTCATTTTTAATATCTATTTTTGTGTAAGGTAAACTCACTCAAAGCTTTGGCAGGAAAAATGGAGGTAGGAACTGGCATTTTTTCAGTAGCTACTTCTCAAATACTAGTACACTTTATATAAATTATATTCAATGTCATTTACATTCTCTTCTTCCATTTGGTCTATAAATAGTAGATTATAACAACAAATAATATCACATAGGTTATACTGATGCACAGAATGATGCTGAGTTGCACAGGATGTTAAATAACTAATGCCAGTTTCTAGCCAGGTTAAGCTGTTGTCAATGCTAAAGGAAGATTACGGCCTTTTAAAAAAGGGAAATGGCAACTTAACACATTGAGATATAATCTTAAAAAATTTTAAGTACATCTTCTGGAGTTATTTCTTTCATTTTTCTATACAGCAGACAATGATAATTATGAAGTGTTATTCAATTTGGAGGAACTTAAATTAGACCAGCCCTTCATTGATTGTATCAGAGTTGCTCCTGACGAGAAATATGTAGCTGCCAAGATAAGAACTGAAGATTCTGAAGCATCTACTTGCATAGTTGTGAAGCTCAGTGATCAGCCTGTAATGGAAGCTTCCTTCCCAAATGTGTCCAGCTTTGGTAAGCCCCCAACTGAAACAGCTTTCTTTGTTAAAAAGGAAATAGTAAGAAAATTGCCTGCACTTATGAAACATCTTTACTTCCCCTTACGAGTGAAGGAGTATTTGAGTACCTGATCATTTATCCCTGTGCATGCTGCACCAGCCTGTGTACCTCTTAGCAAGAGACCCTCCCTCCTGGAAAGATATATCCAAATTCATGTTCACGTTTTTTAAAGTATTATAAGCAACATCCAGGTTGTACAGTATATTTTAATATATTCCTAATTATTATTCAGAATACAAATTTTTGTATAGAAATTGTATCTTCGTATTTTATTCAGCTTTAAGCTTTGCATGATTTTTTTTTTTTTTACATTTCACATTATATGTCAAACTGTTGCAACACATTGCCCAAGGACCAAGGAATCTTGTACTTAAAGAATTAACTCTATTCATCAATAAAAGTAGTGGCAATATTACTAATAGAGCCAATTTTAAATTTTATCCTCTGTCATTTGAGTCGTACAAATGTTCATACTGAATCTTCCCTTTTCATTTCTGCCATAATTTCCCCTAGTATTTTAATAGCTAAAAGCTGCTATGAATTGAAATTATTACACTTTAATTGATTTTAATTTTCTACATGTTCACATTTACAATCAGGCTGCATGTTACATGCTGTGATGACTTACAGTCACTGTCAGCCAGGGGGCAGTCATGCTTGTGATTGGGTGAAACATCTATTGACAGCTTCTCTGGTAAGATCAGGAGAACACCAGGATTAAAATACATTTAGTAGTTTAAGCTAATCTGTGGCTTAAAGGTAGATAGAAAACTTATAGGTATGAGAGAAAGTGATCTAGTATTTTCTGAGACTTAAAGTTCACAGTTGTAGATTTAAACACAATGCATCTGAAAACAAATGTGACTTTACCACCATCTTTCCTAAATATTGACCATCCAACTCATATTTAGGAAACCTGAAATTGCTATCTACTTGGAAACTTGGTATTGCTATATTTTATGCTCTAGACAGGTCTTTGGCAATGTAAAACGTGAGATACAGTGGGGCCTCTGTTAGGTTTAGATTTCTAGGATAACCATGCCTATCTTTGTCTATAACACTCATAATTAGAAAATGCATTGTACCATTTTTTTTTTTTAGCTATAAGTAGGTGGCTATTTATTTAATTATTTTTTCTTAGAATGGGTAAAAGATGAAGAAGAGGAAGATGTTTTATTCTACACCTTCCAGAGGAATCTTCGCTGTCATGATGTGTATCGAGCCACTTTTGGTGATAACAAACGTAATGAACGTTTCTACACAGAAAAAGACCCAAGGTACTAGAATCATGCAATTACATTTTTCTCTAGTTATCTAATATGCTGCTCTTGGTAGACTTAAAGCGTTGATTTTGGCTGGAGCATTAACATTACAGCATCATCATTAATCATGGTCTTTCATTATTTGGATTCAAAACTGAAGTCTGGTTGTGTTCAAACTCTAAAGTGAATACAGATAAATAGATGGTAGATTCTGAATACCTTATAAATAGCCTCAAATCCAAAGAGATGGACCAACACAGAAAATCGGAATAATTGAGAGAAAATGAAATAAAGACCTCAAGGAGCTTCTAGAAACAGAAAGCTGATTCCTGCTGCATTTGCTTCAGTCCCCAAGTCTACTGTTCTTACAAAGAAAGTTCACCAAAATGATGGATAATCCCTTTTGTCTATACCCCTGTGACCCTGTTTTGTTTGGGGTATCTGGTTTTGAAAAAGGTGTTGTTATAGATAAGGCTAAAAAGAGCCCTGACCAGCCAGGTTGTCTCCTTTACTTACTCTAACCAGCTGTGACTGATCAGAGCTATTTTATTTTGATAGTAGAGTGACTCTGAAAACCATGTGCAAGGAAAATGCCAGCTATTACGTTATTTTTTAAAGATTTATTTATTTATGCATACAGAGCTGGGGTACAGGCCAGAGGTGCAGGGATGGTGAGAGGCTTCCCCAGAGACAGAGTGGGGAGCAGAACCGGAAGATTGATGAAGTACACTGCTGAGGGGAGCAGCAGGCGGGTCAGGAGAGGTCTGCCGTGCCATGTGGGTCACCTCCGGGGCTGGGGATCAACTCACACAGAAGCGGCTGCTGCTAGCTTGCAGTACTGTGCTTTAACCCTCTGTGCCACCAGGGAGGGCCCAGGCTATTCTATTTTTAAGGATTGGTGCATTTTAAATACTAATTCATCCATTATCAGGTAGTTCCAGAGTAGTTTAATTTACACATTCTAAGAGCAATATTATAGAGTTCCTAAAGGGAAGGATCTTGACAGAATTAGGAAGCCTAATTTTTTAAGTCACTAAAAAACAACCCCTCTTCACCACTTCCCCCCCCAAAAGATACTAGTATAGTCATTGTAGAATTTACAGTGGTTCTACTACCAAAGGCCAGAGGTGACTGAAAGTCTCAGAGGTCACTGCAGCCAACTTAAGTCACTGAAGGCTCTGGGAGCTCCATGCCCCAAAGATCTTAATGAGGCCAATTCAGAGTAACCTTAATGTACTGAGATGTACGAAACACTACGCATCTTAGAAATTTCAGAAGTGGTTCTAGATGTACAACCCCTTTTAGAAATGACTATTACAATGCAGAGACAGTTAAAGAATTACCTGAAATCATCCACTAATTAGCGAACAAACACCTACATCTTCTATTGCTTCATCCCCTGACCTTGGTAGAAATGAAATCCTCCTTTGAGAAGTAGAATTAGCCCAGAATGCTCCCTTCGCTTCATGTGACAAATGGTTCTAGTCTTATTTCTTCTAGATTGTCTGATTAATCTTGAGCAAGCCTGTCTTGTTTGGTTTCTGCCTGCTAGGGAGTACTGGACTGGCATGCTTCAGGGTCACACAACGACACTAATGTATTGATTCCAAATGTCTTCCCTGACTACTGCCAACTTTGTTATTTCACAGAATTGCTTTGATTATTTGAGTTCTTTTGGGGTTCCATCCAAATTTAGGGTGGTTTTTCTGTTTCTGTTGAAAAATGGTATTACACTGTCTTTATTTTCTTTTATCAAAGTCTTTGAGTTTTTAGTGTACAGGTCTTTTCTCTTCCTGATTAAATTTATTCCTGAGTTTATTGTTCTGATGCTGTTTCAGTGGGGTTTTTTGTTTCTTTTTCAGTAATTTATTGTTAGTGTCTGGAGTGCAGCTGATTTCTGTGTGTCAGTTTTATACCCTATAATATTAAAAGGTAGTATGCATTAGAAATTTACTGGCTTTTCATCTCTCTCCCTCTGCAGCTATTTTGTCTTCCTTTATCTTACAAAAGATAGCCGTTTCCTCACCATAAATATCATGAACAAGACCACTTCTGAAGTGTGGTTGATAGATGGCTTAAGTCCGTGGGACCCACCAGTGCTTATCCAGAAGCGAATACATGGAGTCCTTTACTACATTGAACACAGAGATGATGAGTTATATATTCTCACTAATGTTGGTGAACCCACAGAATTCAAGGTAATCCTGGATTCTCCTGTCCCCATTCAGACTGCTAAAAACCATACTTCCATCAATATTTCCTACTCTGACAATTGTTTTTATAGACTTTGGCAATTGTTGCTACCTTTCCATGCATAAACAATCCCACTTTTCTTCCTTTATTGATAATGCCTCTACATTATGCATAAAAAGACTAATATGTGAAATATACTCTACTGTGATTCTATTACTTATCAAAGCCAATCTTAGTGGCTTAAAGGAACAAACTTTTCAGCTGTTATAAACTCATGATTTTGTAAATTTGGGTTGATCTCAGCTAGACGGTTCTGCTGGGCTCACTCATACACCTGCAGTCATTTGGCTGGCAGCACCCTTATGCAAATGTCCATGGGTTGGCTGCTGACTAGCACCACTGTGATGTGCTCGTCAGTGTGTTTTCATTTCTGGTTGTTGTCGTCATCAAGTTTTGTTACCTAGGTCTCTCCTAACTTTGTTCTTTACAGCTCATGAGGACAGCAGCCGATACTCCTGCTATTATGAATTGGGATTTATTTTTCACAATGAAGAGAAATACCAAAGTCGTAGACTTGGACATGTTTAAGGATCATTGTGTTCTATTCCTGAAGCACAGCAATCTGCTTTATGTTAATGTGATTGGTCTGGCTGATGATTCAGTTCGGTCTCTCAAGGTATGTTTAATTTTCAAAGACAATACTGTTAATCAAAATACATGTAGTTTAGCTTAGCAGAACATAAATTTAGAATAATAACAATATACTTTTTCTTAAATGGAATTTAGCATGCATTGTCTTTATCAGGTACAGATTTGTTTTAGAATTACTTAGCAGAACTTGCTTTTGATGGAGTTTTACTTAATGCTATACTGCTGTACAGCATGAATTTCAGAAACAGAGTGCAGTGCCATGGTATTTCCCTTTATATATCACAATATATCCCTTACTTTAGATGCAGAATTAATGCAGGCCCCCTGGTGCCCGCCCCCTCCCATATCCACGATAGAGACAGTAGTTGTTACCCACTATTCCCATCACTGCATCACTGTGTCTGCCTCATCTCCTCTCTGCCAGGTTGCTCACTTGCTAGTGATCAGAAGAGGGATGAACATGGGTTTCTCTCAGTAAGCGGTGGGCAGTGATCCCCATGCAACCCAGCTGTGAGGTGGCCCACTGTCCTGGCATGCTGGCTCGCTGACACTGCTGTCAGATAGTCTGTCAGATTGGTGAACAGCAACCTTAATGCCCAGATACATACTGTTAACATATGAGTTAAGGTGACAGGCACTAAAGGAAGTGGGTAGGCTTTCATTTTGCTTGATAAGAAAACGTGTCATTTAATCAGCAGACATAGAACACTTATACCTTCCTAGATACAGGATTGTCACAATTTCTGTAAATTCACTAGAAGTTTATTGGACCTTCATGTGCCAAACTCTGTCCTCAACACTCTGAAGTAGAAAAACGGCAGAACAAAATACCTGATTTTATGGAGGATGCATTTTATCATGAGATTAGACTAATATACAAAGAGTCAGTGTAAGGTGAATTTACATAAGTGGCTTCAAAAACATGGCATGTGTAGTGGAGCCCAAAATAGAAGAGGACCTGTGGAAACTTATGTAGAAGAAGTAGAATGTGAGATGAACCAGCTAAGTAGGATATTGATAGGGTAGGAAGATGAGGAAGTACATCAAATAACACGTTAAGCTAGAAAAGTTCAGAACATGTTCAGGTAACTACTAATTTCATCCTACTGAAGAGGGGAACTCTTGAAGCATCAATGCATTTATTACCACAAAATTCTATGTGTAGGAAGTTAGGAATGTCATGAGAGTTTACTGTGCTACATAAGATTGAACTTTTCAGTGTGACCTATTGTATTTTTTATAAGTAAAAAGATATGCCTTGTTTCCGTGGTCTTAACTTCCATTAGAACAAGTATGTCTTTAATTTATTCTTTCTCTTTGTTCTCTGACCCTCCCCAACCTGGAGTTCTTTTATATCTTGTACAGTATTCTGAGTCATCATCATATAGGATCAAATACTATTTTATGTAAAAGGTACTTCTTAAAGAGATCAGAGCCTTTCCATGAACTAGATAGCATAGGTAACACCTATTAATATTATAGACAATACTATACACAAAGGACAAAATCTTTGAGCCCACCTGAGTGGATTATAAAGTATTTCTGGACTTATCATCTGCCCAGTAGGGAATGTAACTGAAATATCATTTTTAATTTAATCATGGAAATGTACAACCTTGAATATATTTGCCTCCTATTCTTGGTCACCATGTCATCGGTATTTCTTGGTAGTATTTTCTTCAGAAAAAAGGTTGCGATATTTTAATTGGTTCTGGAATTTAACTTTAGCAAATTGGAAATTGTTGCTTTGTGCCGATAATAACAGTTCATTTGGTGGGGTCTGCCTACGAGGGCCATTTTCTTGCTCCATATAAGTCTGAATCACTTCAGTGACAGGACTGTGGTTTGCTGGTGGAGTGTTCAAGCTGAATTTGTCCAGTATCTACGGAATATCTGCCTATCGGCTGGCCAACAAAATGTGGCTTAAGATATCCTTGAGGTGGGCCCTCCCTGGTGGCGCAGAGGGTTAAAGCGCAGCAATAAGAAGCTTAAGCCACTTCCGCATGAGTTCGACCCTGCCTGCCTGGGAGGAGATCCACATGGCGTGGCAGACCTCTCCTGACCCTCCCGCTGCTCCCCTCAGCAGTGTACTTGATCGATCTGCCTGTTCTGCACCCACTCTGTCTCTGGTGAATCCTCTCACCCCCCGCATCTCTGGCCTGTATCCCAGTTCTGTATGAATAAATAAATAAATCTTTAAAAAAAAAAAAATATCCTTGAGGTAGTTAATACTGATATCTGTACCAGCTGGACAAAGTCCATAGCTTTTTTATGATTAAACCTTTAACCTTGGTTCCATTAGTCTAAGAAACAGACCCAGAAGCTTCTCTACTTATTAGAACTGCTTGGTCAGAAACAAAGACAACTTAACTAAACGATCATACAGAAACTGTGTAACACCTCACCAAAGGGCAGAAAAGCATATTCCTCTGTGAGCAGAAGGATCTTCCATACTTAATCTGAGGCCTGATTGCCAGCTTAACACCAGTGCTTCACCTTTTTTCCACTCAGTCTCAATTAGCTCGCTTCAGTTATGCTATCAGGTTTCCCAAAATTCATGGACACATTTCAACAGACAAATTATCCTTAAAAATAATTCTCAATCTGAGGAGGATAAAGTGGCATCTCTAATGCGTGTGAATGTATATCCTTATTAGTGCTTCTGGCAAACAGATTCAATGGACTAATTGCAGGAAGGCTGCTCTCTGAACATAGCTCCTTGGCTGTCGTCTCCAAGGTTGAACAAGTGGCTTCTTTATGCGCACATCCCCCACCAACCCTTTCGAAGTTGTGCCCACTGGTGACGTGGCTGTGCCGAGACCTCTGATTTTCTAAGGAATTTGCTCTTTTTTACAATTACTCAGGAAAAGAAAGGCAATTTTCTTTTAATGTTCTGACTCTCGGTACCATTTCTTACATTCTTGTCAGCCTGCTTACCAGAGTTCTTTAAAAGGTATAAGAGTGATGTTAGTGGATGGCTTGAAGCTGGACCCTGCTGCTCTGAGAGAATAAATTTTGATTCCTTTCCTTTCTTCTTAAAGTTAAGAATCTTAATCATAATAGCTATGAGTCTCTCAGAGTGGATGTGCTGGAAAAGGTTTTGTTCTGCACAATGGTTAGCCTGGGAGCTAAAGTTAGAAACAGATTGTAAATGCTTTCGGGCTGCTGTGGCAGTTTGTGGCTCTGGAATAATAACTGTCATCACTGGCTGTCCAGGCAGCAGGGTAAGGGCTGGTGGGGAAATTACCGGAAGCACATGTGAGAGATTTCATATTCTGTGAGGACAGAGATCTTGGAGATGTCACTGGGGTCTGAAATTACAATTTGATTTGCTCTTATTCTTAACCATTCTGCTATTTTGTTGTCTGAATGTATGTACCAAAATAAACATTTTTATTAAGGGAGATTCTTTTAAATCCAGAATTATAATCCAATTTTCTATCATTTTTCCTCTATTGATCATTTATATAGAATTTTGGGATTTTTACTTGAAATCTGCTTTGCTGTGTTGAATTCATCCTTTAATGTGACATGAGTTGCAACAAACTTGATGTCCACATCATCTTGTTAGGAGCAGACACATAAATTTAATTAACGATATTTACTCTTTTGTTTCTTTAGCTCCCTCCTTGGGCCTGTGGATTCATACTGGACACAAATTCGGACCCAAAGAACTGCCCCTTTCAGCTTTGCTCCCCCATCCGTCCCCCAAAATATTATACATATAAATTTGCAGAAGGCAAACTGTTTGAGGAAACTGGTCATGAAGACCCAATCACAAAGACTAGTCGTGTCTTACGTATAGAAGCTAAAAGCAAGGTAGGCCTTTGTGACTTCCGCCGTCAGGCGCCGTTTATTGAAGACTTACCACTTGGCAGCATGCTGTAGTTACTGGGATTGTGCCATTTTATCAGAGTGCTGTAATCATTATAGCACAGATTGAGAGACTGTTGAAACTCAGTTCCTCATAAGTCCGGGGATTCTTTACAAATTAGGGGAAAAGGAAACTACTGCTCTCTGGAAGCTGGTCTAACTTTCCATAGACATTTTTGCACGGCCAGTGAGGTCTGGAACTGAGCTAGTCACAAAACTTGCTACCATTCTTACCGCTTGGTGACACCAAAGTGTTTCTCTGATTGTTAAATATAGTTGGGGTGGGGGGTTGAAGAGTGGAGGAGCATGGAGGTGAAAAGAAAAAATATGTCACAGAAATATATCTACGTCATTTTATAAGCATAAGCCTTCCTGAGAAGTGAACATTTAATTATACTGTTGTAACAAATTGAATATGATAAAGATAATGATGAAAATATGAGAACCAGAGTTTCTTCTCCCTGGACAACAGTGGAACTGTTATACCTAACATCACTCCTATACCTAAGTGATGTTTTCAAAATGAGAATGAAAAATAGCGTTGGTTTTATTATTCTCCTTACGTAATCTAATATTGCTCATTAATTTCTACGAGCAGGGTGAGAACCAATGTCACCCTTTTTTGGTGAAAGGAAGATCAGAAATAGTTCAGATTATCTTAATTGCATTTGTCCAGAGAGTGCCTAGCTTCAGTCAGTCCGAATCAATGAATGTGAACAGTCACCTGCCCTAAAAGTAACGCAGGTGTTAAAATGTAAAGAGCTTACTGAGACCATTTTTAAACATTTTTAAAATAGGATTCTGAAGAGGATGTGGGTAGATGTCCGTAAGTGCAGTACAAGAGGTCCTGATCGTTGAGAAGTCTAAAGAAAAAGAACAGAAAATTGCTATGACTTCTTTAGTCAGTATATTTGTAAATAGTCAAAGATGAGAAATGCCAGGTTCTAGCCCTAAGTTCAGGAAAAATTCTGTGTTGGGGTATCTCACCTAGATAGGGGTATTTTGATGTGTCCTGAAAGAAAATAGTGAGTAGTTAAGAACGTGTTAAAAATCCACTCTACCATCAGGAAAAATTGTATTTAATTCATTATTTTCAAGTCAGAATCTTGCTGCTCTTTTCTATTCAGTATTATAGGTGAGCAAAGTAGCTGACCACAAGGCCCGTGGTGTATCTTTAGAGTCCCTGACTGTCTTAGTTTGCGTTCAGTGTCAATAGGCAGGCAGAGCAGGAAACTGGGGATAATGCTGGTTTTTTTCAGGCTCTTATTTGCATGCATAGTAATTATTCCCTTCCAGGATGGAAAAGCAGTGCCGATGACCATCTTCCACAAAACGGATTCTGAGGACTTGCAGAAGAAGCCTCTCCTGGTACACGTATATGGAGCTTATGGAATGGATTTGAAAATGAATTTCAGGCCTGAAAGGCGGGTCTTGGTGGATGATGGATGGATACTGGCATATTGCCACGTTCGGTGAGTCGGCAAGTTTACCTGGTATCTGAGCACTAGAGCACTGTGGGAGATGGCCAGAGTAACAGTAAACCAGGGAGCAAACACTGATTTTCTTCGTTTTCTTGAATGTATACATTCCTAAACCTGTCCTCATGGGCTAGTTCAATAACAGATTAGTTCATCCAGAAAGCAAGAGCAGATTTTTAGGGTTTGGCGCCAAATTTTTAGGGTTTTTAGAATAGAAATACCAGCCTTTGTACTTAACACCGTTATTTCCATTTCATTATTCTCTGAAACTCCTTTTTTCTACTCTCAATTCCCTTATTTTAGCTCTTTTCAAGACACAAATATTTCTGCTTAAAATGCTTTACACATCTCCCCCCCACCCCACCCACTCTGTCATCTCCATTATAAAATCCAGATTCCGCTTAATAAGAGTTCGCAGCCTAGTCATCTGGCTATTCTCGGCAAGAGTCTTATCCGTGGCCATCACTCTGAGGCCACTCATGCACCAATCCAGCCTTGCTCTGTCCTCCCGGTGGCATGCTCTCCCCGTCCCGCACATGCTGTGGCTCGGTGCCTTCTCTTTGCCCTTCTGGAAACACATGTTCTTCCTTTGGGACTCCTTAGGTGCCATATATGTTCCTTACTCACTCAACCTTCCCCTGGCAGGTGGATGTTCTTTCCTCTGCTTCTGCAAAGCTTTAAACACACTTGTGTGGTAGCAGCAGCCATGTTGCCTGCTGTTTTCTTTCCCCACAAAATGATAAATCTTCTCCAGGGCAAGGAATTTTTGATGTATGCTTGATTATAACAAAAATATAAAAATCAAGCACAATGCCTAGTAAATACAAAGCAAGCATTCAGAACATAGCTGCTGAATCAGTTTTTATTCATCTCTATCAAGAGATAACAAGCTTTCTCTCTTAAGAGCTAAACAGTAAACATTTTAGGCTTTGCAGGCCACATGTGGTCACAGTTGTCTGTTCCTCATCGGTCAGTTTCTTCTCCCACAATTTAAATATGTTCAAACCATTTTCACCTCTAGGTATATATAAAAACAGGCTTGTGGGTAGCTTTGGCCACAGACAGTTGTTTAACTAACCCTGACCTGTATCATTAAAACTTTTCCTCCCACTAAAATTTTTTTGCCCTTTAATTTCAGGGGTGGTGGTGAGTTAGGCCTCCAGTGGCATGCTGATGGCCGCCTAACTAAAAAACTCAATGGCCTTGCTGACTTAGAGGCTTGCATTAAGACGCTTCATGGCCAAGGCTTTTCTCAGCCAAGTCTAACAACCCTGACTGCTTTCAGTGCTGGAGGGGTGCTTGTGGGAGCATTGTGTAACTCTAATCCAGAGCTCCTGAGAGCTGTGACATTGGAGGTGAGTATTCCCTTTCTATTCTTTACAGAATGGGGAAGTGTGAAGCCATAGGCTGCTCCAAGGGAAAAAAATAATCTCCATTACAGTTGTACCATAGCACAGCAGCGTAACAGAACTTAAATTTCTGCAAGAACATCTAAAGTTACTTGGAAGTTATTACTTGTCACTTACTTATTCTTCCCTGACAATGTTCTTAATTTTATGGATTTCCAATAAAGATTGTCAATGGCTAGTCCCATTGATCATTTTTTATTTGTAAAAACATTTAGAATCGGTGGCAAAGAGAGAAAAGCATATTTGACTCAATAGTTGTGGAGTGCATGAAATCCTTTACTCTCTATTAACATTTCAGTCCTGGATTTAGGGGCTCTCTATTTTAGATACTCCATTCTTAGTATAATATAGAAACAGTTTTTCTTTACTTTAATTGACACGTCTTGCCCTGTTGAAGAGGCTGTTCAGTCTTCTCCTAGTTCCCAAAAATCACGGTGTTGTGTCATAGTGTATTTTACCGCCATCATTCTCATGCTTCCTAGTTAGATATTCAAAAAAATAATGACTGAAATAGAGAAAAATGTTTAGGTTTTTAAATTTTGATGCTGGGGACATATATATTGTTGACTTGTAAACAAATGCTCCATAATCCTGTTATGTGTAGATTGGTTTTTTAGTAGAAATAGTAAGTTTGAGAGGTGGGGGGAGGGAATCTATTCACAGAGATGAATAATGGCAGAATCTTTATAATATTAAAAAAGTTCAGCTAACTTGACTTTTAGAAATCTAGAAATAATCAGAAAGGAATGTGTATATACAACGGTATTTATCCTGCGTTGTTTATAATGCTGCATTGAAGTCAACCTAAATATCTAACAATAGAGGATTCATCTGCCAAAGTTCTTTACTAGAAATATGAAAAACTAGCTGATTTAAGACAACGAGGATTTCCTACAAGATTTTGGGTGAGTGAGGGTTTTAAACCAGCTTAGAGACTGCACAACCACAAACATGTTCGAAATGTAGCATGACACTGGCCCAGTGAAGCCAACACCCCACCACTGCTAGGTACCTGTCACCTCAGTGCCACTTCTGGAAGTGACATAACTGTGACACCCTTGTCAGAACAAAGTCTCTGCAGGTCCTTCTTCTTGAACCCCTGACTTCCCATTCAGAGTTTGGAGCACATCATGTCCGGTTGCAGGCCTAGGCCATGTGGCCACGCTGGTGCTGCATGACTGACTGGGGAGGGGCCCAGCTTTTGGCAGCTCTGCAGTGGGAAGCAGGCTCTGTCTGTAAGGTTAGGGGTACTCGCAGTGCGAAGCACAGCTTCAGCTGCTGGGCAGCCAAAAAGAATTAATGTCAACGTAAGAGAAAGCTGAACAGAAATGTTCACAGAAAGCTGTAAGGCCCAGTGAAAAAAGCAGTGGCCATTTTATTAAATATTTAATACTGGTTATATGCCAATGAATGATTTTCTCTTCTTTTATGTAGGGATATTTTCCAGATATTTTCTTCAATTAGCATTTTTTGTGTTTGTTTTATGTATACTGACCAACCAATGAAGAGTTTGTTGAGTTTTTAAAATTTTTACTGAGGTAAAATAACATGAAATTTGCCATCTTATCGAATTTGTAGCATGTAGTTCAAAATGGGCAGTAGTGTTAACTACATGTCCATTACTCTTCAGTCAATCTCCAGAACTCGTTCCATTTTCAAAAATGAAATTCTCTGTCCATGATGTAGCAACTCCCCAACCTGCTCTTCCCCAGCCCCTGGGAACCACTATTCCACTTTTCTGTCTGTGAAAAAGTTACCTCCTAGAAAATTGAATCAACACTCTTCTCGATTTTGTTACTTTCATTTCACATAGATAATGTCTTCAAGGTTCTCTGTGTTGTAGCAGGTGTCAGAATTTCCTTTTGAAGACTGAATAATAGTCCATTATATCATTATGTGACATTTTGCTGATCCGTTCATCCACTTGGGATGCTGTCACTTTTGACTATTGTGAATCTTGCTGCTATAAATGTGGGTCTAGTTTTCGAAGCCCTGCCTTTCATTCTTTCCAGGTATATAGATAGCTAGGAATAGAATAGCTGACTCATAGAATGATTCTAAATTTAATATTTTTGAGAAACCTGCAGACTGTCTACACCAATTTACATTCCTACCAACAGTGCCCAACAGTTCTGTTTTCTCAACCTCTTTGTCAGCACTTGGTCTTTTTCTTAATAGTGGCCATACTAAAGGGGGTGCGGTGGTGCATGAACTACATAAATATATTCTTATGTATAAGTAAAAGACACAAACTAAAAATAAAAGTTATAAAATCAGAAAATCAGCCCTTTCTTTTTATGTAAATGCCACTTAAGGAGTCTGACACACCTTAAAAGCAAGTTGTAAATCCCCGACCCCAGTTACTAGGAACGCACCTGGCTTCTTGACTTTGTTCTCTCTTGTGAACATGTATATTCATAAAGTCTGTTTTCTTGACAGTCCTCTTACCAACCTTTTCATCAAAATTTACATTTGACTTTTTTTTTTTAGGCCCCTTTCCTGGATGTCCTCAACACCATGATGGACACTACACTGCCTCTGACCGTGGAAGAACTAGAAGAATGGGGGAATCCTTCTTCTGATGAAAAACACAAGAACTACATCAAACGTTACTGTCCCTATCAAAATATTAAACCTCAGGTAGCAAAGGCAGTTTTGCTGTACTGTCGTTAAATGGTAAAAAAGAGAAATCAGAAGCAGGATTTAGTAGCACTTTAGATGGCTTCTACTTAGAACACTGAAACGTGCTTGGCACCATCGCTCCTTGTTCTTCATATCGTTTCATTTTAGTGGCTTGGAAGGGTGAATTAGATAAGAGCATGTGTCTCCAGTCGAGAAAAGAGTATTTCAAGTTATAAGCAGCCTCGTACTCAGATGCTATAGCTCTCAGGAATATCAAATGAGAAAAACATCTAGCATCTAGGGGGATAAAATGGCAGGCAGTTGTTTTTTGTCACCTGTAAGATGGAAAAAGACCATGGGGAATAATATATATCCTTTGAATATCTGTTGTCTTACAGCATTATCCTTCGATTCACATCACAGCTTATGAAAATGATGAGCGTGTACCTCTGAAAGGAATTGCAAACTACGCTGACAAACTCAAGGAAGCTGTCGCAGAGCATGCTAAGGACGCTGGTGAAGGTGCGAGACACTCAGAAGCAGGGGATTAGCTAAGTGGACTAGTACCGTCAGTGTACTGCCTGAGGTAGCATTTTATGCTGCCAACCAACCATGTCTAGCACCAATGCCCATAATTTAGGACAAGTAATTGTTTTTTCACCCATGTTGAAAGCCCAGTTGTAGCATATATAATAACTCTAGCTCCCTCACCTCTCTTTTAAATGACAGTATTATCCTAAACCCCTGAATCATACACAGTGTTGTAAACCAGTGTTACCTCCATTTGGAAAAAAAAAATTAATGGTGACATTAAAATAAGGTGGGTCATCACATGGTGCAGCAGACCACCCCTGTCTAGTCTGCTGTTCTCCTTAGCAGTATATTTCACTAACTCTGTCTATTGTGCTCCCTAAAAAATAATAATAATAATAAGGTGGGTCAGGGGGCATCATCCCTGGTGGCCTAGCAGATTATCACTGCTAAGGCCTAAGTTCAGTCCTCAGCCAGGGAGCTGACCCACATGGTGCAGCAGACCCCCCCTTCCTGTCTGCCACTGCTCCCCTCAGCAGTGTATTTTAGTACATCTGCCTGTTCTGCCCCCAAATCTGACTCTGGTGAATCCTCTCATACCCCAACACCACTGGCCTACTCTCCTGCTCTGTTATGCAAAAATAAATAAATAAACCGTTTCAATAAATAAATAAATAGTAAGGTAGACCAGACAGAAAAAGTAATTTGAAAATTAACTCTACCTTGGAGACATACTATACAATCATTCATTCACTTAACATTATTAATCAAACCATTATTCTTGAGAATCTCTAAGTAACAGATTTTGATGTGTTTTTGTTTTTCTTGGAACTGCAGTGCCCAAAATAGCTGATTTAATTTTCTCTAGACCACTCAGTTTCATTAGCCAAGAACTCTTACCTCTTTTTCCCTTGCCGAGACAGCTGAGACCCTCTTGGCTCATGGGTGGGAGGGGCCCACCAACAAGCTTCCATACTGTTGCTGTGTGATCAGTTCCTTATCTCCTTCTCACAGTGCTGTAGTTAGTGCCTCCAGGTCACGAGACTACCAGACTGTACAGGCCCTGTTGGCTTCCTGGTCAAGTCACCACCTTTTCCTGGAGGCCTACACACTTCCATGCCACTTCCTTCCTTCTGGCCTCCTCCTTTTTCCCTCCCTACCTTCTGCTGCTTGCCCCAGACCTTCTCTCTGATGGTGGCAGGTGGTTTTGGTTCTTATGTTAATAGAGTGGAAGGAGACGGGAGAGGTGGGTCTCAATTAGCCAAAAGCCTTCTGATTGTTTCATGTTAACTCTTTCAGGCTATCAGGCCCCCAATATTGTTTTAGATGTTCAGCCTGGCGGCAATCATGTGATTGAGGATTCTCATAAAAAGGTATGTATCAAGCCCCACCGGGGTGACAGATCCCCAGGCAGAGAAGTGAAGTGTTCCACTCCACATTTCAGTGGTTGCGGCAGGACTTATGACAGCTGCTTCCCAGAGGCAGGTCTGAGGCTGATACCCAACAGGGGGTGGAAGGAGCACTGAGTCCATCAAGAGAAAAGGCTCTCTGTCCTTGAAAATTGAGCTTTGTTACCACAAGTAATTGAATCTTAATTGTTGGGAACCTTCTGCCTGTCCTAAATAAAAGTTCCCTTGCTACCACCTTCAGGGTCAAGATTGATAGGCAAAGAGAAATTAAAGCGCTCAGCTTTTACCACAAAGGCCTTCTGTCTAAATTTTTTTTTAAACATGTTTCTTTTAGATTACAGCCCAAATTAAATTCCTGTACGAGGAACTTGGACTTGACAGCACCAGTGTGTTCGAGAATCTTAAGAAATATTTAAAATTCTGAAATGCTGCATTCAAGAGGAATTGGAAACACACCGAAATATTTCAGTTCTATGTCCAGTTGAGTTAGCAAAAGTGAGACCTTTTTTTTTAAGTCGGTCAGTAATTTTTTTAAATCTGCTTCTCTATTCATCCAGAGTTTGTAGGAGTGGGTCTCACTCGCTTCTGCTATTCTCCGCTTTGATACACATGTCCCTGAACCTGGGAAGGTCATTTTCAAATCAGGCTCCTTAGGAGGACATGGAGTAGAGGGTGAGGGGAGGATTGGTCACAGCTGACTCTCCCCTGCCCCATTAGTACAGCTTTGTTTTTGTCGGTTTTACCAAGATTTTGAACGGTTTACAAATCAAAGTCCTGCTTCTCTGCTCGTAAATATTTTTTGACACACTAAAGTGTCAAAGTAAGTGATCATCATTTTATGCATTGTATGGAAAAAGAGAATGTTCTTCACGTTAAAATCCATCCAAATCATCTGGGTCCTAAGGCATTCTGCTCATCTCTTATTGATGCTATCTCAAAAAAGTTACCAGTTCCTCCAGGTAATAATTTTTTGTTGAAGATTTTATTAGTCTTTAAAAACATTTCAGTATCTTTCATAAAGCAGTTACATTCAACCTACAGAAAAATCTAAGAATGACTGTTAATAAGGTTTACCCAGCAGCATGTTGTTATACATGAGGTTACTGCAAATGTTTATAACAAGAGAACGCCAGTGTCTTCATCTCTTTCGTAGAGGTGTCTAACACGAGCTGTACAGTATGTTGAACACACTGGAATAGCATGCCCGATTGGAAATGAAGCAGCTGTCTCTGAGAGCTGTCTGGCCGTGAAGGGGTTTCGCCGTCTTGTATTCAAGAATGAGCCCCTCACCCTTGTGCAGCGTGACGGCAGACGTCTCGACCTCACTGCCTTTGCGGTCAGAATTGGTACTCAGTCTTATCCTCACTTTTGTGGGAATATCTGAAATAATGTCCTGTAGATTTAACGATGGAATGTCTCCAAAATTCAGAACCACAAGAAAGACTCTGTCTATGCCATCGAACTCTCTAGTGTACATGACAGAGTCATAGTCATTCCTCAAGTAGCAAAACCAGCCCCTGTTAAGGAGTAGCTCATTAGCGCGAAGCAAGCTCAACTCTTGATATAAATTCAGTGCTGATGTGGATTGACTCTTTTGTACCTATTTAAAGAAAAAAAAATAAACATAAATGTTTGATTCGAAAAGATTTTTTAATATTTTTAGTAGCAAATAAAGATTTTAAAAAACACTTGCTTCAATTTTACCCCTTAAAATGATTACCAGATTGTGAGGATTAAGAAGTAAATCAGCTTCTCCAGTAAGAACAGTCCAGCTGCAGATAGGAGTGGCAGGGGAGGCCTTCTCCCTGTCTGGGGATCCCTGCCTTTGCTGCTCGGCCGCTTTTGGCCAGAGCCACTGTGAAGACCACATCTGACTCCACTCTAGGGATTCCAAAACACATGTCCCCCCCTAAGTGACTGGATATTTAACTTGCTTAACGAAAGGCCTTTATGCTATATGGTAACTGGCCAAGAAGGAGCGAGCCACCTCGGCGTGGACTCTGAAAGTGGCGAGTTGGGGCTCTCCCCTTCTCTTTTGTGTACTTCTTGCAGACATGATGGACAAAAGTTACAAAAGAGGACGCAAAGCAAAATTCTGCCTAAAGAGAAAGTTGAAAATTTAGTTAAGGCATTTTGTTTGACCTTATATATAATCCACTCAAGGAGTTGAGGGGTTGATAGTACAGCTATATAAAAATAATGTTGTGTTTTTTCGGGTTCTATTTTCTATTAACATTTTAAGCTTCTTCCACCGGTACTTTAGAGCCTCCATAAATGTCATTTTGATGGCAGAATAATATTCAGTTAAATGGCTAGACTAGAATTAACCATTTCTTGTCCTTTCAACTTTCAAGTTTCTAGTGTTTTATATATTTTAAGTACCCCTCCTTTCCCCATGTCTGGATTATTTATTTAGAACAAGTGATTCGGAAGGAAATGACTGTGTCAGCGAGTATGGACATTTGCTGTTAATGCCAAATTCTTCTTCATAAGAGCTGTTGCCAAATCAGTGGTAACGTTCGCCCCTTGAGCTCCAGCCAGCTGTGTGACTGCAGGGTGCTCGTGTCATCGTCATCCACTTGGGGCAGTGACTAAAGTGTGGTCCTTTGTGAATAGCTAATGACTGTTTGATAAAATGTTTATTCTCTGTTTATCAGGTGCAAAGGTATTTATGATACATGTATATGGTATATGTATGACTTGTCGAATTACAATTAACACTTCCTGTAGCCTTAGCTAATGCATGAAGAAGCACATAGTTCAGTGCCACTCATATAAGTGCCCAATAAGTGTTAACTATTACTAGTTAACTATGATGAGTGTTAACTATTACTAGTTTTGTCGACTTGATTTATCACTTTCTAGAAGTATGTTGACGTATCTCTGTAATTGTGAATTTGTCAGTTTCTCTTTGCATTTCTCAGAGTACTTGTTTTATATATTTTGAAGCTATGATAGATGCATAGATTCATGAATTGTGGTGGAATGTTCTTTTACCAATTTTTGAAAATTGCCTGTCTCATAATGCTTTTCATATTGAATTCTATTTTGTCTGCTATTAAATATTTCCACACCTGCTCTTTGTAATAGAATTTTTAAATTGGATATGGGTGCACACAGTGTAAGATTCATATTCAATATGTAAAATAAAAAGGGTGTCTTCTACACCGTCCCCTACTTTCCAGTCCTCTCTCAGAGATAGACAGGGACCATGATTATGTTTTCTTTGTTATGTGTCTCATGAAGTAATACACTCTGTGACTAAGCAAACATTTCAATAACACTTTTCCTTTTCTATATAAATAGTGGCATGGCATCATTTCGTACCCTGTATTTTATAATTCAGTACATGTTAGAGATGTCCTATCAGTGCACACTGAACCTTCATTCTTTTTAAAAGCTACATCCTACCATCCCTGTGTGACTTAACCATGTAATTGACTTCAACTGGTTTTCTTTTGATAAAATTTTTAAATCATTTCCAGAGCGTTCTATGAAAAACCAAGTTCCAATAGAGAGCCTTAAATATCATTTTTTCCATTCATATTCATTCTTTTTTTTTAATTTATGTCATCTATACGCAAAAATTGAATATCATTTTCTAAGATACAAATATAGGAATAAAATTACTAGGTCAAAGGCATATCATGTATTGATGGCTCTATCAGAGGGCAAGCTTTCTTCTTATTAGCATTTGCCTGTGGTATCTTTAATTCTTTGTGTCCTTTTGTTTTTGCCATATCTCTTACATTGAATTTTTTATATACTCTGAGTTTTATCTTTTAATAGGAGAGTTTAACCTGTTTATAATTGTGATTATTATGTTTGGACAGGAAGCCTTATTTTATTACTGTTTTCTTCCTTTTTAACATTTTACTGGATCTACTGGTTTTTTCCTGCTATTTTTCTTCTTTCTTTCTTTCTTTGAAAAGTATGCATTTATGGCTCTTCTTCTAATGGTCGCCCGTAAAAATATAATAATGGTTTTAAAATATATTTTTCTCAGCATATAGCACAGTGCTCTCCAAAAGACCTTTCTAGAGTGCTAGCATTGTTCTATGTCTGCACTAATATGGTAGCTACTAACTCCTGAACAATTGAAATGTTTGACACAGGAACTTAATTTTTAATGCTATTTAATTGTAATGGTTAAAGTGGTCACTGGCTGGATAGCTCAATTCTAGAGGAAGTTACTCTCCTCACACTCCCCATGTAAGACCTGTCTGCTGTACACACACACATTCCCTGCTACCAGTTCCCATATATGAGTGAATAAGATTTTTGTTCCAGAATACACTAGTTAGAACTTCTGTGTATGACATAGTGTATTTCAACGGTCTTATATATCGAAAAACTTTTGTTGATTCCTTTTCTTACTATTTTTCAGATATATCACCTCTTCCTTTTGGATTCACGTTTTCCTAAGTGTTGCTAATTATTCTCTCAGAAACTGGCTGTGCATGGTAAAAGTTGCTCCCTTGCTTTTCCCTCTGTGTTGTGCTTGAATCTTGCCTTAAATGGATAGAGGATTCTAGAGGTTTTTCCAGTATAACTTCTAGAGGTTTTCCAGTATAACTATAAAGGTTCTGATGTGTTCTAATATCCATTTGAGAAATTTGAAGCTATTTTGAGCTTGATGTCTTCCAATATATTTTCAGGGTTTTCTCTTTATTCTGCCAATCTAGAAAAAGGTGAATCCACTCTCTGGGTTTCCTTTGCTTATATGTCTGTTTCCAGTCTGTGTTCTCTTCTACAGTTCCTTTTTGTTGTGTTCATTTCTAGATCTGCCCTCTACACATCAAAATTGTCCTCTTGCACTGTGAACATCTTTGCCTTTTTACAGTGAATTCTAGGACAAACCCCAAGGACCTGTTTTCCAGGACACCAATTAGAACTCCTGTGTATGTCATCGAGTATTTTAATGATCTTTACATTTCTAAGGTACCTGTAATTACTTTAAAGGATGTCAAGGGCTCCATAGCATAGTTGTCGATGGCAGAAGGGGGTGTTTATACTAATATTGGAGTCTTAATGTTGGCCATATTTTTTGTGTTTTCTACAATAGTCTATTAGGAATGATGTCTGTCGTTCCTGGTCTTATGTTATCACATGTAGCGTGACTCTTAGTGGCCTGCTCTCGTTAGCAATCTTATCCTCCCTTTTTGCCTGTCTTTGGTTGCCAGTCAGCAGTAACTGTGAGAAGCTGACCTGGAGGTAGCTCTTTGGGGTACAGGGATTCTTTTCCAACTTATCAGTGATAAGCTCCCTAGAGTGCTGCCCACCTCTTCTCGTGTTTGTGGCTGAGGAATAAACATTCATTTCTGAGCACATTCTGCAATGAATTTCACAAAAGATATCACTAGAATTCACTAGAATTAGATCTCCTCTCTCGTACTTGGATGGGGGTATTAGATCTTCTCTTACTTCTGCTGTGCATGGAGAAGTGTGACACTATTTCAAGTGTTGCCTTATTCATTCCAACACAAGCAGGATCACCAGGTAGGCCTTGAGTTGATTTTGTTTTTCCTTAGGGAAATTCTGGTGCAGCCAGTGAGGTAGGCTGGAAATATTCCAAAGTGCTCACACCTGTACTAAGTAGGGCCGTTTTCTCCTGTGTATTTTAGACTCTGATTTCTATGCATTTGTTTCTCTGTACTCTTCACATTACTTTCCATCCTTTCAAAGTTACTAAAACTCTCACCTGTTTCTGGGGCTTTTCTCTGTATATTTTATTAAAATGGCATCGCCTGAGACTTGATTGTGACGCTGCATCCCTCCAAGCCTTAATTCATGACCATTTTTTTAAAGACTTGACTAATATAATATGATAGGAAAAAAGTGTTTTCATTTGCATTTGCACTTTTCCATCTTTGCTGGTATACAATATTATGTCCCCTTTCTTAAATGTTGGTCTCAAATTGGTCTGTGGGAGTATTTTAGATATAATAAAATCCAATAGATGCACTTAATCTAGGACACAATGTTAAATAGATAGTTTGTATATTTTTAGGAACTCACAAATACATAAAACGAAGGTTTCATATCCTGAAATTCTCCATGGCTTATAGCAGAGTCATAGAAAGAGCTTACATGATGTTTGATATCAGCATAATATTTTCACAGTAATAATAGAGTGTGGTAAAGCAGTGCTATAAGGTTCCTAAAGATCCTCACATGGTACCAATCGTTTCTCTTCCCCTAAAGTTGTTTATATTGTGTTTTCCAAAGAGATTTTCATTAGTAATTGACAGTGGCATCTCCTTTTATTTGCCTGAAGCCAGTTCATATTTTTCTGGTCTAAAGAAATGTACTTGCCACTTTGCTAGAATATCTGCATTCCTGTCTAGGAAACCTGTTTGCTTAACTTGGCAAGCTTGATCATGAGAACAGAAAATGGCACAGGCAAATGCCAAAGGTTGTATGCTTTTCCAGAACAACTACTTCTAGGGATTATTCCTGCCTTCAGTCTTCAAGTCAGCAGTCTCACTCTCAAGGGCACATTTCCCCATATTGGTGGATTCATCTATTCTCCTTCCTTTGAGGAAGGAGAGTAGGTAGGAGGGTTGGTGTTCTTAAAGTCATTCCACTGAAATGCTGTGTATTCTGGATACTTCAGAAACATTTCACTTCTATATCACTTGTATTTTCACAAAAACTTGCAAGCTCCTTACATCAGTAAACTGCAAGGGAAGTCTAGGTGGCCAATTCAAACAGCATCAGCTAAGGTTTTAGGTACATTCAAGGTCTAAGTACATGTCACAGAATCTCACTTCCTGTTTCTGGAATCAGCATAAAGTTGCCATGGATACTTACATCAACGTTCACAGTGTGGTAATCTGAAGTGGGGGGTAACCAGGTGTGACTGCCTTCAGAAAAGCCAGCGTTTGAACTGTTGTCCCACTGCATTGGTGACTTTGAAAAGAGTGTATTCTATTCGAAAGATCATAGGAGAAAACAATGGTTTGGTTATTGAAAGAAATGTATTTTGTAACTTCATAAATATTAATTTCCTGTATTTCTTAGCCAGTACTTTCATCCATTCACATTCATAATAAAAAGATCTTAACATTTAGTACATAAACCAGTTAAACATGTTTAACTGGAAAAGTCAAGGACGTCTTGAGTTTGAAGCGACTATATCATAGCTGAACCTTGACATATGGAATCTTAGATGCTTTTCCCTAAAAACAAGTCATGGAAACAGACAAAACTAAGCCAAGCCCTAGAAATCTGACTGTAGAACTGAGGCTACCAGAGGGGAAGGTTGGGGAGCAGGGACAAAAAGGGGAGGAGGCCCGATGGGCTGTGGTAAAGGACTATGGGTACTTTGGTGGTGGGTGTAGGGCAGTGACATACCTCTGAGGAGCTGTGAACCTGTACCTGAGTCTGGTGAAGTGTTATAAGCCCACATTACCTCAATAAAAACACAGTGTAATAAGAAGGCTAATGAACTGAAAAAACAACAAAGTGATAATGTAGGTTTCAAAAATGCACCTCTGCTAATTCATTCTATGATGCACTGATGCTGGATTCAAATAGGCAGCCACATTCAAGTGAGCCCCAAGTCTCTCCTGGCATCCAGCCTGGTGACTGCAATTGCACACACACAAATGCAGGGACTAGAGCAGGCAGTTTCACTCTGACCAATTGTTAGAGAGATTAAATGTTGTACAATTGAAAATTAACCTTACTAGTTAAAAGTTCAACATCTTTCCTCTGCCCAGTGACAAAACCAAGATTCAGAGTCTCCAACTAAAAATGCTCATCTGAAACTTTATTAACATAAAAGAAGAACCTGCTACAGTCAAGGGGGCCTAGCAGTACAGACGAGCACTGTAAAGTTCCTAACTCCCATGTTTCAGGTAGAGGATGAGGAACAATATTTCAGGCTCAAAGTAGGTTCTCATAGACCTGAGAATCAGCTGGAAAACATTTAAAATGCAGGCCCCTAGTCTCTACACTAGGAAATCAGTTATGTGGCTCAGGAAGCAGCATTTCCAACAGTACCACAAGCAAGAAGTTGAAGGTTTCTTACTAACAGAAAGGAGAGCAAAATAATCATGAATTTTAGCAGCAGAATAGAAATAGTAAATTTTCTGACTTGGGCAAAAATAAGTACTTGGTCTGGTATGTTGTTAAATTGTACTGACTTACAACATCATAGCTTTCATTGAGACTTGTGACTACAGTATTTCCCATTCCTATTTCTTCTCCGTAGTAAGTTATAGGAGTTCCAGGGAGTGTAAAGAGAAGCATGTTCATGATGTTGACATATTCTTTCCCCAAACGAGAAGTCAGCCGCATACTGTCTGGTCCACCCATCTGAAAAGCAGATACATTGAAGAATATAGTGCTACACATGATTTTCCAGAATTCTTATTTTGTTTCACAGGAGGTTCACTAGGCATAAAATCAAGGCAGCCCAGAGTGCCAGGGAGCCCAGATCTGAGCCCCACTCTGCTGCCGGCTGTGTAACTGACCCATTTACTGTCTCGTCCATTAGGGTTACAATTTACTTCACAATGAAACTGCAAATAACAAGATTTATGAGCTTACATAATATGTTCACATGTTTGCTGAAGAGAGAATATTGACAGAAAAAGGAAAAAAAATGCTTCCCATAGACAACAGGACAAGGGAACAGGGGAGGGGTGGAGGTGAAAAGACATTTTTGATGTGGCCCTTCTGTGGGTGCTTGAACTGTTCAAATTTTAAAAGATAAAATCAGGATTTATAAAAAGAATTTACATGGCCCAAAAGAAAATCTAGTGAACTGTTTTCTATTTTTAGATACATCTATGTTAAAAACTCTAGTTATATATTATAGCATCTATTCCTTATTTGAGAACCTATTTAAGTCAATTACCAGCTCTCCATGTGCTCCAACTCACTTTTACCTGCATCTGTTTAAAAAGTCCTTTCACATCTAGATTGTTTTATCTCCCTCTCCCTACTATTGTGCTCTCAGGTGTTACCTCCATTCTACAAAGGTTGAAATAAGCTCTTTTCAAGCCAGGGCATAAGTCTGAAGGAGTCTTTGAATTTGTGTCTGAGAAGAGGAGTTTGGTTGTTAACAACTCAAGAAAAGGAAGGTTGCTATTACTGAAACTGTATGAGTGGTCTTTTTCAAAGACCTTTTTTTTTTTTTTAAGATTTATTTTATTTGTACATTCAGAACTGGGGTACAGGCCAGAGGCTCAGGGGTGGCGAGAGGCTTCACCAGAGACAGAGTGGGGAGCAGAACAGGCAGAT